TTTGTAGAGCGCTGTGTCAGTGCTTCACTATCAAATGAAATCCATTCCACTTGCTTATTGAGAGAATGCCCAAATCAATGAAACTCCGTACTCTAGTGATCACTGATTCATACACTGGGGTTACATAATTCAATCCAGGAACTACAGGTTGGGGGTATTGTTTCGCACGGACACATATCTTGACGGTACCTCCGGGGTACCTACTGGGTGTTTCTCAATCGTGAGTAAAGCTGCTTCAGAGCCACTATTTCAAGCATACTACGTCATCGAGTGCCGCCGAAGTACTGTTCCAATCTCCAGCATACTTGGAAATTTATTGTTGTATATAAATGTACAAAAAATGGGCATTTAAACTGCTTTTTATTAATTCAAAGACAGCTCTGAATTAATAATCAAATATGTTTCCTTTCTTTACTACTGGATGAAATTACAAAATGTACCCATCATTTTCCTCATGCTAGTATAGCCACATAAAAGTATCAAACCACCTGTTAAAATGCACCAGAATACAGGAAATCTATATATTTTTTTGCCCCCACACCCCCCGTTAAAAATGTCCCCCCCACATTCAGGATGCTTCCTATGCCCATGATTATAGGGCATCATGACAGAGCCCTGCAGAAGGTAATGGAAGCGATTCAGGAATGAACCTCCGGTGTGACCAACCTCGGAGGCCGTATGGATCAGGTCGCAGCACATCTCTCCACGCGCCCGCTGACTGCCAATGCTCAAGGTCCAGATCCTGCTCCTCCACCTCAAGCTGATCCGGAACGACAGCCCTGCAATCCTCGTGAGCCCTTTAGCCCCACTCCCGTCAGGTATTCAGGAGATTTAGGGTCTTGTAATCAGTTCTTGCACCAATGTAGTCTTGTGTTTGAGCAACAACCATTCACTTGTTCCACTGATAGATCTAGGGTTGCTTTTATTATGAGCCTACCAGTGGCGGCCGGCCCATAGGGGCGCTAGGGGCGCCGCCCCCCCTCTTCCCACATTACAAATTAAAAAAATTAAAAAAATTAAAAAATATATATTTAAAAAATATTTTTTATTTTTATGTTTAATAAACAAGGTAAATATTATATAATTGGTATCAGTAAAATGTATAATCTACAATAAAATCTCGTTTAAAATGTTTCCTGCCGGCCTCATGGTCTTTTCATCTGCCGTGGGTTAAGTACGCCCACAACTCCCTGGTATGCTCTGCCACAGGTATGTCACCTTTTATGGCTTCTAACGGCTTCCAACCCCCCCTTTTTCCGGTTCAAGAGAGAGAGGTGGCGGTTCCCTCGGTGCAGGGGCATCTCCGGCGAGCCCGCAGAGTCTGGCGTGAAGCCCGGGCAGCTCTCACCCGCACCTCTGCCCGGAACCAGAGGCTGGCGGACCGTCACCGCCGACCAGCTCCTGATTACCAACCGGGCCAGAAGGTTTGGCTTTCCTCCCGTGACCTCCCTCTACAAACTGAGTCTCGGAAACTCACTCCCAGGTACATTGGACCTTATGAGATTGAACGTGTCATCAATCCTAGTGTGGTTAGGCTCAAGTTGCCTCTTGCCTTGAAGGTGCAGCCAACTTTTTATGTGTCACTCCTCAAAAAAGTTCCACCCGGCCTTCACTGTACGGCGGTTGCTGAACGTTCGAAGGCGGGGCCGTGGTTACCAGTACCTAGTGGATTGGGAGGGGTATGGGCCAGAGGAGCGACAATGGGTTTCTCGCTCGCTCATTTTGGACCCTGATCTCTTGAGAGACTTTTATGCCCGGTACCCGGATAAGCCTGGTAGGCCGCCAGGAGGCATCCTTTGAGGGAGGGGTACTGTTATGTTTATGCATGGGTTTTGTTGTTGAGTTATTTCCTGTTTGCTCCTTTTACCCCTCACTACTCTGTCTCTCCTTCTCTGCAGGGCTGGTGTGTGACAGGGGGCATGGCTGGTATTCTCCTGGCTGCAGATGAGGCACACCTGTTCCCACTCAGATAATCACCTGCTCTTTAAGAGCCTGGCCCTCACCTCACTTCTCTGCCAGAAAATTAAATGCTATTCGTCGATCCAGAGTGCCTTTCTGCAGCCTTGAGTCTTGTTTTGTTTCTTTGCAGTTTTTGAGCAACTTTTTGAGTTTAGCCTGGGACGTTTTCCCTCTGCTTTGTTTTTGGACCTTTCTGCAGCCAGCCAGCTCCCTGTCTTCAGTACCTGCCTTGGCCTATTATTTATTAAACACCTTGAGCTTTACTTGTGTCTGTCTCTGCTTTGGGGTCCAAGAATCCATACGTCACAATAATGATAGTTCAAGCTGGTACAAATTGTTTCTTCAGAACTTTTTGAGACCTTTGCAAACTATTTGTTCGACTGTAACTGACTCCAATTTTGGTGCATCTCACAAACAAATGTCTTTTTTGGGAAAGACTTCATTACGGGGAGATCAGTGAACAGAATTTTTATTTTTTCAAGAAGCACATAAAGATCAGTTTGAAGGAAAAGGCTGTTTTTTTTCCTCGGCCTATATTTAAAAAAAAACAAACAATGAGGAACTCTCAACACTTCTGAGTACAACCTGTACATTTCTGTGTGTGTGTGTGTGTGGGGATACTGCAGATAAACCTGTCACATTAAGGATAGTGAGATGTGTGTGTGCTGATAAACTGTGTAAATAAAGACAATCCTTTCTCTGTTCATTGTTCCTTTGTCAGGTTCTCATGAGAGTTGTGCAATACCTGCTTAAAAAACTGAGGGTTAGGCTAGGTTTCTTCTGGAACAAGTCCTGTTTCTTGCTCGAGGCCAGAAAAAGGCTAGTCTCTGTGACCTTTTTACCTGTGCTGGACTATGGTGATCTGATTTATATGAATGCACCTGCCCATTGCCTGGTCAAGTTAGATGCTGCGTATCACAGTGCTCTGAGATTTGTGACAAACTGTAAAGCATTAACCCATCACTGTACCCTGTATGCAAGGGCTGGTCTGCCTTCACTAACTGTACGGAGGCTCAGTCACTGGTACATTTTTATATATAAAGCCATGTTAGGGAAACTTCCATCCTACATCTGCTCCCTGATCTCACGGCGAATTGTAAGTGGCTACAGCCTGAGATCGCATGCTGTGGTTTTATTAAATGTGCCAACTGCTAGGACTGTCTTAGGGAAGATAGCATTTATATGCGCAGCTCCACTGTCCTGGAATAGTCTGCAATTGAAATGGAAACTGAGCAATCTGGTGCCACTAAATGTTTTTAAAGCTCGGTTGGATGCTACTGAATCGGAAGCTGTTGGTACCTGTTCATGTGGATAGTTATGTAAATTGTAATCCCTGTAATGATGCTGTATGATGTCCTTTTGTTGTTCTGTTTATGTTTTTAATGTTTCATGTGGAACCTACTTGAGCAGGTCTCCCTTGAAAAAGAGATCAATGATCTCAATGGGATACAACCTGGATAAATAAAGGTTTGAAATGAAATGAAATGAATACCTCCCTTTGTATGCATCGGTGAGCAGAAGATGCGTCACACTTCAATCCTCCAGTCATGTATCTCTGGCTTTATTTAGCCTTTTTCACCGGCATCCAAACAGTCCTGTTTATTACGGCAACAACAGCAGTTTCTGACTCCATCATGCAGCCCAAAGTCATCCGATATCCAAAAAGTGAGCACGCCTAAGAAATCTAACTGCTGTCCAAATTAAGGGTTAAGCCATGAAGTAGGTCTGTAAACTGTTATGGGTCTGTGTATAATTATTTAACTGTTAACTGTGGCTAACTTTGGTCTGTTTGCCTTACAGCTTGGGCTTTTTTTCCCAATTGGACCTATTTTTCTTCAGCAATTTTGCCTTGCTTGTATTAGTAGTGCAATAGTAGGGTCCATGTAAACACACTAGAGGTTTCCATTACATTACATACTCAATACTGTGGGCAATCCCCACAGGAGCAATTTGGGGTGAAGTGTCTCAGGGACACAACGACATGCTGACTGCAGTGGGGTTTGAACCTGTGACCCCCTGATCCGAACACCAACCACTAATTATGTATAATTATGAAAATGTTCCCAGCCTTACCAGGATTTTGCACATGACATGTTATAGATGTGAACTTAATGCAGTGTTATTCCCACCCATTACAACAAAAAGAAAAGTCTGACTGCATTGTACTTCATTGCCACCGAGTGGAGCTGTCAGGAAGTGCTAAAATATCTATCGAATGCATTCATTTATTCAATTAACTTCTGATCCAGTAGTGGTTTGAAATGATTATTATTGTTAAAACAAATATACTTTGTGTAGCTGATACTTCTCATACTTTCATTTTGATTCACTTATGGATCTTTCTCATGATATTCCTCATCAAAATTGAGTCGATCATTTACAGAATATGCACTTGCATTTCATGATATATGTCTCCACATGATCTGTTATTGCCAGGAACCCTAAACTATGAAAATATATTGAATTAAAGTAAGAAATAAGTTGTTCTTTAACTTAAAAGCTTAAATCGACCCACAACATAATACATGCAGGACATAATAAACATCAATGTTCAACAAAGGTAATGCAGGACTTAATTAAGCACATTTTGTACCTTATTGTGTATTTTTATCTCCTACTTATGTCACTTAAAGCAGATCCTGTTTGAACTTTATGGACTTTTTAAAGGTCCCATCACACACCTGTCACATGATCTCTAATCTGTCAATGAGCAACTGTTTCCAAGCGTTTCCTTATAGTAAAACTCCTGCTTTGTTTTTACATGTAATGATGTGTTTAGAGGCCTTAACTGTAACCTAATCTGCTTTTCTTCTTGGTGTTGATTCAGGCGTAAATAAGGACGTTTTATTTTAATTTTACGAGTAACAGGCCGACTTACAGCATTCCTCAGTTCAGGCTGTGGTGTAAACTCTGTTTCAGGTGTGTCATAGCGTGGAACATGTTAACCATTGGACTCAAACACCACACCCATGAGGCAAACACACAACTTCCCTGTGTGAGAGCTGCTATTACTGTATTTCCATGATCATATATACACACACTAATGTCTTCCACAACATGGGAGCGTTGTAAAATACACTAACTAATGGAAGGTTGTGCCATAAATGCTGCTATTTAAAGATTAGGTAGTGAACTGAGAGAGAAACCAGTGTTTTGCTCGGCAGAGGGAGGGTTGGGGCTGATGAATAACTGTGTTGACGTTAGATTTTCCTGTTTCACAGCTGTATTCATACTCATTCATGAAGCAGGAGTGCCACCTGCTCCGTCACAGAGGACAAGAGTGAGACTGACCATCTTCACGGGAGAAAAGCAGCTGTAAGTATGAGAGATATGAAATACTAGATCTGTTTGGTTGTTAAAAATACTTGGCAGGTGAATAAAAGTTACTTAGGTAAGAGATGAATGATTTGGGGGAACAGCGCTTTCATAGTCTGAAAACTGACAAATATGCCACTGTATGTTCACCATGGAAATTGTAAGGTTTGTGCTTTGTCGTGGTTGCCTTCAAAATGTTTAAATTATCCACAATAACAGTTTTGAACCAATAGTTAATTAATTTCATATTTCCTGATTATTGTGGAATTGAAGGATGAGAGGAGCAGCAGTTTAGGTTTGATGACTCAGGTCTGTGTAAATAAAGCCTTAAGCCTTACTTTGTTTTAAATATGTGTGTACTAAGGGAATAGACCTATTTAGATTCAAGATAAACGACTTGTTTGAAGTGTTTTAGTGTTTAAAAAACAAGATATATGCCTGCTATGTTATCAGTGTGCTTTATATATCCTGCTAAATGGATTATGTTTGCTTTAGGAGATAGCCAGGCCAGCTGTTTAAAGCCTTTAATGTTAAGCTAAGCTAACAAGATGCTAGCTGTGTAGCTTCATATTGAGTGGACAAAGCTATGCTAGCATGCTAACATAGGACCTGATTAGATTGACAATAAAAAGAGACATAACTAACCTGTAACACAAAATGCTGTTTAATCATGTAGGATGGAATATTTTGAAGTTAATATCACAAAAAACATACTTCAAATAACAACATATTACAATAATAATGTAGTGATGAGAAAGTGTTGGCTAGTTAGCATATTGGGTCTTCTGAACTGCATGAATACTACCAAATCTGAAATGATATCTCTGTATGCATAACACCTATACCAGAGATTGGCATTTAAGTTTAATATAACCCTCTAAGCATTTCAGCAGTTTTATAGGCTAACACTATTATTTGGTTCATCTCATCAGTAATGGGGTGTTGATGCACTTAATTATGTGGATACTTTCTGTGGGAAGTGAGGGTTTGTCTGGTCTGTCGTGTGTATTTAACCTCGAAAACTATGACTAATAGTTGCAAACCAAACAGTGCAGGGTGTACAGTTTAAGTCCTGAATTTCAAGTCATGCATCGAAACTCAAATATACACAGTAGCCTACTTTTGTGTTTGTTCTGTGGATATAAATCGTTGCATGCACTTCCTGTGCACCTAACTTCCTATTCTTTGTATTGTTCTGCAGACAATGCGTCCTCAGGCAGAGGTGGGAAGTAGTGGAGTACAAATACTTTGTTACTGTACTTAAGTACATTTTTCTGGTATCAGTACTTGACTTTTTACTTTGACTTTTTTAACCCAAATACCTGTACTTTCTACTTCTTACATGTTGAACCCAAATACCTGTACTTTCTACTTCTTACATGTTGAACCCAAATACCTGTACTTTCTACTTCTTACATTTCCCAAACAGGCTTGTTCCTTTAGTTTGAATGTGTGTTTGGTGGCGTGATCATTATTATTTAGAGTCATTGCGTGCCTATTGATTTGAACACGATCCGTGTATCCATCATTTCCTGGTCTTCTCTAAAGAAGAGGGACCAATGAAAACGTTGTCATGTTGCCGTTGTTCAGCATGGAAACATTCATTAGCTAACAATGACATTATTGTTCTATTAATATAAAGGGAGGTCAGGTACTCTTTAAAACAGCTGCTAGTTATGGGTACTTTTTACTGAAGTACATTTCAAAGCCCTCTTTACTTTGACTTGAGTAAAGAAGTTTAGTCAGTACTTCTACTTTTACCAGAGTATTTTTAAACATGAGTATCTGTACTTCTACTTGAGTAAAGTATGTGTGTACTTTTGCCATCTCTGTCCTCAGGTAACATGTTACCAGAAAAGCAGTTCCAGTGTAACATCTGTCAGCAGGTGTTCACCGACCCCATCACCACTCCCTGCGGACACAACTTCTGCCAAACCTGCATCGAGAATGTTTGGGACAGCAGTGATGTCTGCCAGTGTCCCACCTGTAACAAAACCTTCATCTCCCGTCCTGAAACAAGCATCAACACAGCCTTCAAAGAGCTGGCGGACACATTGAGAAACATCATAGTGTGTAAGTCTGCTGCCCCGCTGTGTGCAGCCAAACCAGGTGAGGTGTTGTGTGATGTCTGCGCGGCAACCTCCATGCAGGTGAAGGCGCTGAAATCCTGCCTGGTGTGTCTGACGTCGTACTGTGAAACCCACCTGGAGCCTCATCAGAGAGTGGCCACCTTGAAGATCCACAAGCTGATCGATCCGGTGAAGAACCTGCAGGAGAGGATGTGCAAGAAACACGAGAGGCTGCTGGAGATGTTCTGCAGGGACGAACAGAAGTGTGTGTGCCAGTTCTGCACCGAGACCGAGCACAAAGGTCACCAGGCCGTCAAGATAGAGGACGAGAGTGCGGAGAGGAAGGTAAAATGTTCAGAGAAGACTATGTGTTATTGATCAAGTTATAGAAAGTCAATGCAAAGACGCAAACCAGGACAATACAGGCAAAGGTTATCCTGACCATAAGCAGACGTGACTGTATTGTCTATTTTACTCTAAACTGTGACTAGGACTCTTACTTCTCTAAAAATGGACAACATACTGTTTTGAAGAACTGTTAGAACAAGCTATTAAGACTATAAAGTCATTAGGAAATCTTTACTGTGGTAATAAATCAAGTGAGAAGTAGAGTCAGTTGCTCATAGACTTCAATTGGACTTCATCCCCCTGATGGAGATAAAGGAGAGTGACGCTTTGAGGTCTGTCAGCTCTCTAGGATTACACCTGTTTTGGAGGAATGGTGACCTTACAAATGTTTTTGAAGGCATCTAACTGTGGTACTGAAACGTGTAATGTTCAAACAGTCAGTCAGGACCTTTATCCTTGGTGATAGGAAATTAAATGATTCATATTTACCTATTTCTGTTTTACAGTACATGTTTGTCCAATGGTCTCATTTGCTAGTTCTGTCGGTGAAAAACGTACTTTCTGTCGACTGAAAGTTTCAATTTCTGTTTTGCCTAAAACAGGTCAAAATAAAGAATACTGAAGCAGATTTCCATCAGATGATCCAGGAGCGCATGAGGAAAGTGGAGGAGATCAAAAACTGTCTGAAGCTCAGCAACGTGAGTCCTAATCAAGTTAAATGCCTAAATATTTGTATTTGTTTGAATAAAATAACTCATAGCCATTGATTTCACTTTAAACAAACTCATGAAAAGGAAGCAAGTCCAACTTTTCTTTACTATCATATAGAGAGGCTTTGTCGTGGCAAGATACTAATGAACATGCTAACACTTTTTAAAAACTTGACCTTATTAATGTTAACCTTTCTTATGCCCGTCCAGACGAGCACAGAAAAGGAGCTGAAGGAGAGCGACCGTCTCTTCACGTCTCTGATTCGCTCCGTCCACGAGAGACATACTGAAGTCAACACAGAGATCTCAGAGAAGCAGAAAGCAGCCGAGAGGAGAGCAGAGGAGCTCGTTGGTGATCTGAAACAGGAAGTCTCTGAACTGCAGAGGAGAAACACTGAGCTGGAGGAGCTGAGGGACTCGGAGGACCATCTGCACGTCTTACAGGTTAACATCCTCCCAAATAAACGGTTATTACTGGATCTTTAGGTTCCAGTTTAGGCTTCATAAACACCTTTTTCACCATGATAACATTTACATTTCTTCACCGTGTTTCCCCTCATATAGAGGTCACCCTCTCTTATGTGCTCTCCACCCACCAAAGAGTGGATGGAGATCGGCATTCACCCCGAACTCTGTGTGGGTACGGTGAGGGGAGCCATGTCTAAACTGGACAACACTCTGAGTAAAGAACTGAATAGTCTGAAGGAACAAGGTAAAGTGTAGAAAATGTGCTTCACTGAAACTAATCATCATCCTTCTTATGTCTTCATTTAGCCTCTCTAAAGTTTTGTTTCAATTCCATATCTAACATGTCTCATTATCTTCTTGGCAGAGATGAAGAAGATGCACAGATATGCAGGTAGGACCTCACTTTAATCGATGTTTGCTTTTGCCATGTTTAGGTGAAATGCACATTGGCATATTGGATTGCTATACAGTAGTTAAAGTAATATGGCAGGACTTTGCTGCCCACTTGTGGTTGTGTCACAGAAACCTGAGGAAACCGAGATAATAGGGCTGAAAGCAATCACTGAAACAGTCCCATTTTCTACACACTAACACTTTAATTGCCTTAAACGTCTGAACATATGTACTAGGGATGCCAGAAACTGACCATGATCAAATTCGAAAATCGGACAGCCCTGGCGAATATTAATCGATTATTATTATATTGAAACTAAGCCAGGAAAAAAAAGAAAAACCTAAATAATAATAAAAAAATATATAAATAAAATCGAATTTTAAATAATAAATAATTTTCGATTATGGAGACTGTAACGAATATTCGAAAAATCGAATAATCGCTGGCATCCCTAATATGTACAAGCATGGAGAAAAGTGGTAAATGACTCATAGTGTAGAAGTGATCGCAGTGGCAATGGTACTATCCTGTTGGTTATTTTCCCCAAATGGCTGCTCAAAAGTATATTTGCAATTTAAACATTTTCCATGCCACCACAACATGCATAATATTTGGTTTTGAACTCTATATTCAACTTAAGAGAAATAGCATTATGGGAGTGAAGTCAGAAATTCTCCGATCCTAGTTTATTTATGATTAAAATCTGTACTGTTGTTGTAAAAAGTTAGAACAGTCCGTGTTAAAGTAACTGCACTATATGTGTACAGAAATAGACGTAATCAGTAGCAGGAAGTGGATGCAGAAGTGATGTTTTTTTCCTTACTATTAATTAAACGTTTCTCCGTCTTATCTCCGTAGTTGATGTGGTTTTAGACCCAGAAACCGCCCATCCAAACATCGTCCTGTCAGCTGATGGGAAGCAGGCGGGTCGGGGGGAGCTTCTGCACATCGTCCCAGACAACCCCAAACGTTTCGACCCCGTTATCTGCGTTGTGAGCAAGAGAGGCTACCTGTCCGGGAGGTTCTACTTCGAGGTCAGGAACTTGTTTGTTGACGGATCAATTGTTCAATGAACCGTCAGAATCTTCTCTCAAGGATTCAAGGATTCAAGGCTTTTATTGTCATGTGTACATAGTTAAAGTGTAGATATGTCAAGGAAAATCTTAGGTCACAGGCTCCTCCAATAGTTCCTTCATTTATTCCCTCCATTAATCACATGAGATACAAGTTTGGATAAAACTTGAGAGAAGGGAACGAAGAATCTAACCAGTGACCTTTCCAACATTATACAAGTGGTCTATTTAGGGCACCTTTTAAAGCATTTTGTATTACTAGATTCAAGGCTTTTATTGTCATGTGTACATAGCTACAGTGTAGATATGTCAATAGAAATAGTGCAAGGAGAGTCTATATACAAGTAATTGGAATATTGATATATATAACTTGCACACAGATGAATGTTTTGGATGTTCTCTCAAAAGTTCAGGTGTTTAACAGTCTTGCTTTGACCATCAGGTTGCAGTTGGGCCAAAGACCTTCTGGGACCTTGGCGTGGTCAAAGAGTCGATCAACAGGAAGGGGATGATCACTTCCAAACCAGAGAACGGCTATTGGACGGTGCGTCTGAGGAACGGAGAAGAGTATCGAGCTTTGGACTCCCCCTCGGTGCTTCTCTCCCTGAAGAGGAAGCCTCAGACGGTGGGAGTGTTCACGGATTACGAAGAGGGAACCGTGTCGTTCTTCAACGTGGAGGCCGGGTCTCACATCTACACCTTCACCGGGTGTATGTTCTCCGAGAGGGTCTTCCCCTTCTTCAGCCCGGGTGTTTTTGATGATGGGAAGAATACAGCGCCATTGGTTATCAAAGTGGTAAATCATGAGACTTAATGTTGAGGCTTTGACTGCTTTCTGGTGCTTCAAGAAACCAACAGAACGGATTGAGAATTTAAAGTTTGGTCTAGTTTTATTGGTATCTGGGTTTCTACTGTACGTACACCAACAGTTTCAATTATGATCGTTATGAACCACAACCTCAATACAAGGCAATTTGAACCTTTAAGGCCTAATGGGAAATGTTTAACTGTTGCTACCGAACTATAGACAAACTATTTCCTAGTTGGAGAGAAGATAGAAAAATAATATTCCAATCCAGGACAATTGTACGCCATGATGCCAAATGCCAAACCTAAACTAATCATCTAACTTGTGCTTAAATATATATATATATATATATATATATATATATATATGTGGGCCGGGGCGGTACCAAAGTGGGCCGGTCGAGAGTCCCGGGCTGATTTGTAGTCCCAGTCCGCCCCTGATATATATATATATATATATATAATAAAGGTTGTGTGGTGCTATGGACTCTACAGGCTTAGCATAGCATTGTTGTTTCACTGCAGCCTTTTGAGTGAATTCTTTACATTACATTCATTGACATTACAAAGACTATTGGGGATGCTGATTACAATTTAAGATAAAAAATGTAATGAGAATAATGCTACAGCTAGCATGTTTGGCTAGCATATTTGTTTGTGTCGTGTTTAGGGTGACCAGGTGCCAGAAAGCCACAAGTGGGACAGAGAGTATGTTTGTGTGGGACAATGTGGGACATGTAAATGTAATGTTGACGCATGAACTGTCAACGGGGGGGGGGGGGGGGGTTGGGTACACTGTGGACCTCTGTCGCCTGTCAGCGCAACTTACATAATGCCGTTTAAAACATATAATAATGGGCGGTGCCGGCCTTTCTCCGCAGAAAAGCGTTTTGGCCAATCAAAATGAAATATGCGGGACATCGTCTCAATTTGCGGGACGCACCAAAAGTCGTGAAAATGCTGTGCAGTCCCGTGCAAAGCGGGACATCTGGTCACCCTATAGTCGTGTTTGTTTTGTGTGTCTCACCTGGTGATTTGTTTTTTAAATAAAAAAAACTAGTTTAAATCGTGTCCCAGAAACCTTTTATGTTTTGCAAAACCTTTGCATCCGTCCCGACAGAGCGACCCTGTTTCCATGTGCTTTGCATTGTTAGAGGACATACGCCTCATGCAAGGAGGATTAAGTAACACGCATTCATTACATACAAATAAAGAGCGCCGTATTCTTTTACTAAGTCAGTGTCTGTGCAGCTCTCACTGCTTTCTCTCTTGTAAAGACCGTCTGATTTCTTCATCACAGGTAAGTTTTATCATCACAATTATATGATGTCATAGTTAATCATCCATTCATTTGTTTTGAAGATCAGTCTTGAATTTTCTTTGTGTGTGTTTTAATTTCCTATAGAAATTGCAAACCATGGATAGAAGAATGTTTGGCATTTTGCTCTTCTCAGGTGAGGTAGTGAAGAACATCTTGCTGTGACGCATGATTATTAACGGCCTAGAGATACTCTTGTATTGACCTTTACCATACTTTTGCATTCTGCATTATAGTTAAGTACATTTATTGGGTACTTGTACTTTGACTTAACAGATAACGATACCTTTAAAACTAAGATTTCAAATAAAAGAACACATGATGAGTTTATAAAACACAATAATCTGTTAAAGATTAAACCAGGAGTTTCCAACATATTGGTTTGCGACCATGAATTGTAGTTTCTCTGAAGGTAGTCTTGCCCTCTTTACTTCTAAAACTGATTCAATTAAACACCTGTTTAAAAGCTCAAAAGCTAAATAATCCAATATCTCTAGAAAAATAAGAGATGTGCAAAGTAAAAATAAAACTGGAACTTCGTTTTTTTCTACTTTTCTAGGCCATACATGTTCTTAAAAAACCATTGGCGGGGAAACGTTGTCTAAACATTGTTGTACTTATTAAGGGAATATCTATATATATATAGTTAAGTACATTCATTGGGTACTTGTACTTTGACTCAAGATACTTTTAAAACTAAGATCTCAAATAAAAGAACACATGATGAGTTTATAAAATACAATAATCTGTTAAAGATTAAACCAGGAGTTTCCAATATATTGGTTTGCGACCATGAATTGCAGTTTCTCGGAAGGTAGTCTTGCCCTCTTTACTTCTAACATTGATTCAATTAAATACTTGTTGAAGGCTAAACGATTGATTCCAATATCTCTCAAAACATAAGAAAAGTCCAAAGTAAAAATAAAACTGGAAGTAGTTTTTTTCTACTTTTCTAGGCCATACATGTTCTTAAAAAAAACATTGGCGTGGAAACATTGTTTATACATTGTTATAAAACGGACAAGTCAAATCAAGCAATCTGATTGGTTCTTAGCCGTGATATAATGAGCGTATATCACGGGTAGAATTGTAGTTACTTTTCACAACAAGTCAGTATCCCTCCGCGTCTGAGAAAAGCTACAACCGTTACAACTGTTACATTACGTCCGTTACGAAACTAACTAACTAACAAAGCTTAAGATGGAAACATGTAAGGGATAATGTGCAGCAAGGACTTATTGACCGTTGTTAAGGACGCTCACGCGAACTGAAGAAAGAAGTCCGGTCGCTTCGCGTCGGGCCGAACCACGCCCCTTAGCTGTGATATAATGAGCATATACCACGGCCTGTCGTGAGCTATTGCTTAATTGTACTGGCCATCAAACTCTTCACCCTTCAGTAAAGGGAACTGAGAACTTCCACACCACCACTATGTGCAATATAAATACCATTACCGTCATTACAAAACACGATACCACTTTACAATAAAGCTACCCTTATAAAGGGTTTACGAATAGTTTGTAATTTATTTATTAATTAGGTTGTGAACACTTTATAAATCATTAATAAGCTTTTATAAGACATGAGATAAACAGGGCAACTGTGACCGGTTGCTTGCCAAATAGTGAGCCCACATTTATCTGTACTGCTAAGCCTTATATTGGCTAGCTTACTTCGTCTCCTTCATCAGCCAGCATCCTTGGTATCTGTTGCTCACTGAGTTGATTCTCGCTAAGTAGCCACTATAAGGCTTAGTCATCTTGCCAAATAGTGAGCCTGTGATGATGTATGAAAACTATGTTAGAACTGGTTTATAAATGGCTCTTAATGATTAAAGTGTTTACAACCTAATTCATAACCTAATTATGAAAACCCTTTATGAATCCTTTATAAGGGTAGTCTTATTGTAAAGTGGTACCCAAAACACTCGTTGCTATATAACATGTGCAATATTATTATTATTAATAATGTACTATGATAACGTGCAATTACATATCTGCCACTACGTTTTTTTTTTGCACTACTAAATACTGGTAATAATTACATTAATTATGTGACGTCTATGTTTCACCGCGAAACTCAGCCTGGGCACACACACCCGCAGCCTGGCTGGGAGTTTGTGTGTGCGCCCAGGCTGAGTTCCGCGGTGTCTCGCTGTCTCCCAGCGGGACACCAGCTCACAGTGTCCCGCTCCTCGCAGCAGCGAGCCTCGCAATGTCCCGCCGAGTGTGTGTGTGTGAGAGGAAGTCCGCGGATTGGTCCAAACGCAACGGCTCCGCGGACGTAACGTAACTATACCCGAAATACGTCACTCTACCCAAGAAGTAAACAATGGAAAAAGAGAAATCCCCAACGAGGCGTTCTGGGGCAGCATAGACAGGTCTTTTCTGTGTTAGAGTTGTACTCGGACTCTGCAGACCGTTTACATGCAGAAAAAGCTACATAACACACAAGGGGACGGGTATTAACCAGAAAAGCATGACATGGGACCTTTAAGGAAATATCCTAAAACTTCTTCCACCCCTGTCCACAGGTTTGTTCCACGTTGCGTTCCCTCTTCATCGTCCTCGGTACAACTTCATCGACGAGTCCAAAACGTGGCTCGAGGCCCGTCAGCACTGCAGGGAATATCACACCGATTTGGCCGCCGTCAACGATGAGCAGGACCTCGTGGATCTAGGTAGTCTTGTGGATTCTGAATTCTCACACGTCTTCATAGGTTTGCAGAGAAGTTGGGGATGGTCAGTGTCCGACGCTGACGACCACAAAGAGGGAGAACCGTCCTACTGGAACTGGGCGAGTGATGAACCTGAAGGAGCCAAACATTGTGGGTTCATAAGAAACACCGGAAAGTGGTTTGCTGCAAAATGCAACACTCCTTTGAAATTCATCTGCTACAACGGTAAGTATTCTCTTTGATCCAAACACAATTACACATTGGTTTAAAAAGTTACATTTCATTGAAAAATGTAAGAACCCACTGAAAATAAACGTTTTTTTAAAAGAATTTATTGTTGACTAAGAAATGGTGGTATTGTTGACTTTTTATTTTAATTTCTGTTGTACCTATATGTTCACTTTGTTTTATGGGGTTTTATATTTTTATATTGTCGCATCGACTCAGTTGTCTTGTGTCATTATTTATTTTATTTTATTGAATTTGTATTATCATACCTTTTACCTCCTTGTGTCTATTAACCTGATAAAAGGTTATATTTTGCTGCATGTACCTTTTAAAGTTCTTAACAAATAATCTGAGGGGAATTGTTTTTTACTTGTGATGTGTCATTTTGTAAAGCACTTTGAGCTGCATGTGTTGTATGAAAAGTGCCATATAAATAAAGCTTTATTATTATTATTTGCAGAATCCACAACCGATCTCTCTGAGAGGTTTTTTTTGTATAACGACCTCGTGGACTGGCCCTCGGCTCAGGCGTACTGCAGGGAGCGGCACACAGACCTGGCCAGAGTTAGAAACCAGCTGGACAACGAGGCGCTGCTGGATCTATCGCTTAGCTTCCGGACATGGATCGGGCTGAAGGCAGAGTCCTGGGTGTGGTCCGATGGGAAGGAAGCATCCTTCATACCCTGGAGACCTCAGGAACTCTTGGGAGTCGCTGATTGTGCCGCACTGGATGTCAACAGCAAACCTCTGGGAATAGTGGACAAGGATTGTGCTGAAAAACTGCCCTTCTTTTGCTACACTGGTAATACGTATGATATAATAATAATAATAATAATAATAATAATAATAATAATAATAATAATAGATTACATTTGTATAGCGCCTTTCAAGGGACCCAATGCCGCTTGACATGGTGAACAAACAAACAAAAGGGCAAATAATAAGGTAAAACAAATAGAAAATTCAATAAAAAGCAGTAGGAGTGGAAGCAGGGGCACGGTGACGGGTTAGGGGTCAAACGGGTTAGGGGTCAAAGGCCATGTGGAACAGGTGAGTTTTTAATGAAGAGTTGAAGATGTCATGATGATATGGTACATCTCAATATGTGTAGTTATGAGAAATGCTACTGATATGCACTGTATATGAAAAATTAAGATTTTTTTTAAGGGGAATAGGGACATTATTTTTCCATTATATCATATTTTACATATCCAATCCAACTTTATTTATATAGACCAAAGTGCTGTACATCAATACATATATAAAAAGCAGCATAAATACTTTTAGACCAAACCGATAGGATATACAGTATATGTGTATACATTTTACATATGTTACATATATTTTTGCATTTTCACACCACAAAAATAAAATGTAATATACCGTTTTTGATGTAGTTCATAAAGAGACACCACTATTAAATTGAGTTTCATGACAAGTGTATAGTTTCTCTCATTGATTTTAACCAACAGACTGTCCTACTCTTGCTAAAGATGAGCATACTTCCCAAAAATGTTTTACTATTCCTTTAAATAGGCAAAAAATATTGTCCCTTTTTTCTTTTTTAAAGAGCCAAGGAAGAAGTATTTGGTTGAAGTGAAGCTGACGGCTGACGACTCTGTGAACATGACGGATCAAGCTGTGTTGGATTCAATCTTGAAAACGGTGACTGTTCACATTTTAACCTTTGACGAATTCCTGACGACTTGTATGGAGTCATTCAATTGTTCCTGGTGTAAAATCACAAATCCTCCCTGATAAAACCCCTTTGAATCAATGATCATGTGTTCAATATAACATTTTATACCTCTTTTTGTTATGCCTAGGTGGAAACTAAACTGGGCGCCACTACAGATGTTCAACTGCGCTGGAAGAAGCTTCCAGAGATGGAAGAAAACTCAAAACAAGAGCAGACTGAAACACCTGATTTACAATGTGTTCCATAAAACACACATTTAGTTTGATTTTGTGTCAAATTCCTTTAGGGTGATGTTATATCTGAAAAAAAACATATTTATTAGAAAATAACAGAATTATTGTAAAATATATGCTACTTTCAATTAGTGTCTTCATATTTAAGTAATGCTAGTTTATATAACAAATGTACAATATCCAGAAAGTAGATGCAACATATTATATAATGTTTGCATCTACAACCTTTCCCCTGAAAGAGTGTCAAATGTAAGGACCGTTTTCAGTGATGACATTAATAAAGTTTTACAAAACGCTTGAAGACAGCTGGGTTTTATTTGTCCAAGCAGTGAGTACACATTTTACATTTAAATTAAAATCTTACTATCTGCTTTGCATCCGGATCAGTGACAGTACATTTCCATTTGTCTTTGTATCCTGGTGCTCAAGCCTTAGAGTTTTTTTAATATATCAACCATGATGCTGGAATAATTTAAATATAGTTCAAATCAAAGATCAGGCTGCTTTTAGGGGAGAATATATAGTAATTTAAACTAAAAATCTATCTCATTGGACCTCTGCAATTGTAGTCTGTGTTAACTAGAATTGGAGTCCGTTGTAATGCATTTACTTGAAGCCCTGAATGTTGATTTACTTAGTTATTATCACCTGCAGATCAATATTCACACCCTCTGAATCACCGACGATAAAGCCAAACTTGCTTTTTCTTTGCACGACATGCAAGACAAGTTAGTTAGCATTCGCAACTTTTATGAATGGATAACTATAGAGTAAGTTGAGTAGTAGTGTGGTGAGCCATTCGTTTTAAGTGATTATACACTAATGAGCATAGTTCATATTACATGAAATCTCTGCCAATAAACACTACTTTATTCTACACATATCATAGGTCGTGAAGGACCACATTTGGTTCTGGTTTTTAGCACCATAGTAGCAATCTGCGGTCACTAGAGGCAGTCGAGCCTTTACGCTATTTTACGCATTTGACGTAATGACGCAATGACGCAATGACGCATAGACTTGTACGTAAAGAAGGAGGAAGGTGTTGCCTCTCTCCAACATGGCGGCGACCATAGATACCAGCAATGCCGTTCAGGCTACAAAGAAAAAGCATCTCGGGATCCCCGAAGCTATTTTTGTGGTGCGTAAAACTGACATGTACTGCTTTAGGTTGTCAGAACTCCACATTGACGTCTGAAGGGTGAAAACACAAGTGTTATTGTTGTGGTTTGTGTGTGGGCGCGTCATGCTGGCTATGAGCTAGTTAGCTTAATGCTAATCCTGCAGTGTGTGCAGGGCGGCTCCTCACGTCCATCTATGGACATCATCCCAGAGTCTGTGTGTGTGCGAGCTGCTTCTGCATTTTACTGCACCTCTTTTCCTCTGTAGGCTTTTAAACAACTGCAGTTAGCTACATGTTAGCCTAATAACATGCTCTGCTAATGACAGTCTGACTAAATTAGCATTAGCTGCCTCCAACCTCTTCCCTTTTTCAGGAAATATCAATACTGTGGAAGGATATTTCACATTATTTACTGAAGTAAAAGTATACTTTCAATTCTCCACTACAGATTAGTGCCATGCATTAAGTAGCACATGTGTAACTTATCAACATTATGTGAAAGTACTGACACAGTAGAATGTGTCAGTCAGTGTTTTCCTAATATATATATATGACGTTTTTGGATTGATATTACGATAGCATCATTAATGTATTGCACTACTGTAGATGTTTCAGCATTGTAGTAGACTAAAAGTATAAAGAAGCATGAAAATAATGTATCAAGTAAATAACATTCACTCAAATTGTATGTATTGTAAGTACCTCAGTTAATCATTCCCTTCTGTATACAGTAGAAAACATGTACCTCCTGATCTGGTGACACAATGACGTTTGAAGTGTTCATAATATATAGGTTAAGAGTAGACTTAACATTTATCCATTTGAAAAAAGAAACATCATTTTTTTTTATTGGTGAATTGTTAACCAAGGTGCACAATTTTCAGTAGAAATGAGAATGATATGTTAATGTTTGAGGTAGTTTTAAAATGGTTTTGCTATATCATCGGAAGTACCCAACAGAGACTGGTCAATTCTACCTTTGCTGCTCTTTGACAAATGTTTTTAAGGCAACTCAAAGTGACCCAACTTAAAATCTATGCTAGATGATTTCTCTGTTAGGTTTTAATGTCCTGTCTCTTCTGATGTGTCCTACAGGAGGATGTGGACTCCTTTATGAAAAAGCCTGGCAACGAGACGGCAGACTCTGCGCTGAGGAAGCTGGACGAGCAGCACCAGAAATATAAATACATGGAGCTCAACCTGTCCCAGAAGAAACTCAGGTAACACCAACAAAAAGAGACTTCATCTACTTGCATAAAATAAGTTGCAACTAGTGTTTGATTTTATGAAACTGGACTGTCTTACTGAAATGTTTTACTTCTCTTGATGTGTAGGTTGAAAAGCCAGATCCCACAAATCTCACAGACGCTAGAAATCCTGCGACACATGCAGAAGAAAAAGGTGTGTATTGCTCTTATAAACGTACATTTATAAATAGTAAACTCAGTATCCTAACTGATGCTATTTGTTGTTGTTTTTGAAATGATTTAATCATGTTTTTATATTGTATCTGCCTTGCATTTTAATTTAATTGTATTATTATAATGTTTTGTTCTCAGGACACCAAAACTCCCATGGACACGCACTTCCTATTGGCCGACAATGTTTACTGCAAGGCTTCAGTGCCGCCCACCGATAAAGTGTGCCTATGGTTAGGGGTAAGTACCGCTTAGATTAAAGTCAGTTGTATTTCCTGATGTGTGGTCTGAGACCCTGCATGAGAGCTGTTTTACGGAGACAAATATAAGAGGTGAAGTCGGTGAACGCCATAACTGAAATCCTCTCTCCATCTTTCACTCCTTCCCACCCCGACATTTCCCTCCGAAGGCTAACGTGATGTTAGAGTACGACATCGATGAAGCCCAGGCTCTGCTGGAGAAGAACCTGTCCACGGCGTCTCGTAACTGCGAGACACTCGAGGACGATCTGGACTTCCTGCGAGACCAGTTCACCACCACCGAAGTCAGTATCCTTCCACAATGTAGTCCACTCAGGTTGGGCTTACCGCAGATTCTAAGTTCTGTGGAGGTGTTTTTTTTTTTTTTACAGGTATTTTTCAACACAAACTCATATGTTTTAATATTGTTTTCCATAAAGGTGGCTGTGCATTTGTGTTGAAATGGTGCATTGTTGAGGAGCATTTGATTTAGAGAACGGTGACATCTGCTGGCTAAACTTCAATGATGTGTGTATGGATGGATACAATCAGTTGGTAAGGGGGTCTCACTACTGTCTTTATATTTTTGGTAAAATAACACGGATACATACTTCAAATTTTCCAGAAGCATTAAGCCCCATAAAGGTTTAACATATATTAAAGGTTATGTAAAACAAATCTCAATTGAGTCAGGTTACCCACATGTACACACTACATTGCTAGATACTTGAGGTAAGGGAACACATATCAGTTTGAATGAACTGAACCTTTTTAAAGATGAATGAATGCCAGAGTGAATAACCATCACAATTTTCTCAAACAATGTCGATATTAAAATGTATAAAAACAGCCAATCCTCACATTTTAATGACCTGGAACCAGTTGTTTTTTTCTGAAACATTTCTGGTGGTTTTATTATTTTTGATCAATGCATCTCATGAAGTGTTTTAGCCCAAATGTAACCCTAACCCTCTTAAATAAAAAAAAATGTAGTATTTCAGGGTTCTTACGGTCATTAAAAACCTGGAAAAGTCATGGAAATTCAAAAAGCTAATTCCAGGCCCTGGAAAAGTTATGGAAAACAATATTTTTCCCAAAGTTTTGGAAAAATCATGGACATTTTTACTGAAGTTACATCAAATTAGTATATTTTATCTAATCGCCAAAATAGTAATACTATAATGATAATACATACTGTATAGTAATGAAACGTAAAATGGCATTTAACTGTCGAGGTATTTTGCTGGTGAGAGATTTTAGTAGAAGCTAGTAAGCCTATTTGATTTGTTTTAGATAGGCACAACATGTTTCATATGCAGACCTTATTTTCCTGTTCCATGTTAAAATAATCCATTTTCAGTGGTACCGCTGAGAAAGAGTCATTTTTTTGGTCATGGAAAATTAGGTAGAGGTCATTGAAAATCATTGGTGAAAAAGTGTATGAACCCTGGTCTTTGTATTTGTAGATCTTACAGTTTACATAATCCTATACATTATAAAATAAAAATGTAAAACACTGTTTTTTATTATGAATGATTCTGCCACATCCTGCTGCTGTCGTTCCTCAACTCCCGCTCCCTCAGACATGGCACGAGTTTACAACTGGGACGTGAAGAGAAGGAGCAAAGAAAACCTCCTCAAATCTGCAGACAAGTCTTAATACCGACAGCGTCCACATCCCGTCTGCTAACTATGTTCTACTCTCATAAATACGAATAAAGACCCAGTCCCCTTCAAGTCATGTGTATGTTCACCCCTATAGCTCTGTGGAGAAGAGGGCATATTTCAAATATAAAAGTTGTGTTTGATTTAACTCATTGAGATTAAATCACTCTTCATTTGAAATATGCCCTCCGTTAAGTCAAGCTTCCACCACTACTGTTATCAGTTGATTTGTTACTTTTTAAAGTATTTTTTTCAAGTAAAAAATAACAAAAACAAAGGCAATTTTTTGTATTCTTTTTTTATTGATTTAAGTACTCCTATCTTTGGCAGATTTATGTGTGAGGGTTTTCTTGCATCGTTTTTCCCTCCCTCCTGATTCAGACTTATTGGATGACAAAGTGGTTCAGTGTTCACTCCTCCGTCCTTTAACACTCTGCCATCTCTTCCTCCTCCTCCTCTTCCTCCTCAGCCGCTGTTCTGTCTGTATTTATTTGTCTCACTGTATTCACTATACGCTGAATGAAGTAAAAGAAGAACATTTGGGCAACGAGAAAATACCTTCACCTGGTGTGTTTATTCCTCTGATTTGAACAGATGGGTTAGAAAATGTTTTTTTACCTGCAGGTTAAAATGTGGTTGTTTTTTTTAAGCTTAAATGCAACATTTATTTACAGTAACTTACGTACAATTAAATATGTACGGTATATTCCTCAGGTTTCATAAGAAGTCTTGACATTTTGGCAAATTCTTAATTTAAGGGTCATTCAAGAAATTAAGGACAATTTAAACATCAACACTTTTGAAAAATGAACCCTTTATTTTCACATTTTCTTTGATGTATTTGAGAAACACGGGTAGGAAACCATACAAAAATGGATTCCTCCAGCTCGGGAATCTATCGTACTTATGTTAAGATGTATTTTTTTTTGCTTTTTTAATAGCAATCTAGACTGTGCTAGACCGTGCTAGACCTTTTGTAGAAATGAATTTAAATGTCTATTTACCTCTTGATCGAATTATCATTTTAACAGAGGGGAAATGGTTGCAATCTTCTGGGTTTAAACGGTTATATATTTAACACCAATGTAGATTATGCTTACTTAAACTAAAGATAATAAATTGAGCTGCAGGAAATGCAACACAGTTACTGCAATTACTCTAATTATAGTAACACGGTTGCAAATCTGATTTTAAATCTACATTCACTCATGGAAACCAAAAATATCAATGAAATATTTGCTTGTTGTCCTCGTACTTTTCCATTAAGTCAAACGTACGTCGCTTCCTCCTGTTTTTCCTCGTATAGCTTTCTCCATAACTTTTCCTTCTTCCCCTAAAAAACAACCCTTTTCCTTTCATGCATCTTGTCCTCTTGCAGCTTCTTACTTAAGATGGAGAATCCAAAATAAGCTTCTAGTAGAGGAAACATTTGAAGGCATTTTTAACAGAACACAAATGTGCAGAAACCTGCTTCTCCGACAGTTTTTTAGGATATCAGATGGTGTTGTCAAATGTGTATGCCTCAGTGCTTCCACCCAGTGGTAATGTGTTGACACAGCAAACTGTACAAAAAAGCATTTTTTCTAAGTATGTTTAAAGATAATGATAGAGGGAACTAATTGTAATTGCATCCTAATGATCAAAAGAGAACCACCACCTTCTCGTGAAAGTGACATGACAAGATAACACTTTTTTTTTTACAATACTATCTTCAATCACATCTGTTTATGTATAGATTTTAATTGATGTATCATCCTTTAACACCAATAAGCTTAAGTCAAGCACATGCACATTTGGAAATATGTGCTTGTAAGATATTCCTATTTAATGTCAAACATTTTTAAATCTTAAATTACTCATTTAAACGACATGAAACATATTTCCTCTCAAATACTCTACGGTAAAAGCCACAACCTTGTGCGTAAAAACTCACAATGACATGTTTATTTTTCTAGTCACATTTTATTTATTTTTTAGTACATTTCAGTTTGTTGAGAGATAACTAGAGTGGAGCAAGAGACTGTCCGATGTAACCCAGCAGGATTGAGGACAGTGATATTGTCTGTACATCTCCGAGGGTTGAAAATAAGTGAGTTTTTATTGTACCACGACTCCTGTGAGAAGAAACACTGAGGGCAGGACATAGCTGTCGTCACCCAACAGATTCATGCTTTTGATGTCAGAGTGGCAGGGTAGAAAAGACAGCTACAGTTCAATTTATGTCCCCTTTAAACATATCTATGTGCAAAGTCAAATTAAAGAGTAATTTGGAAAGTCATGAGGCGTTTCATGTGCAAAATGTTAACAACTCCCAGAAATTACACACAAATATGGACATTCATTTCCCATCCCCCGTAGGCTCTACAGATACTACGTTTCCTTTTACATCGTGGACATGGTAAAACATTTGAGATAATGATGAGGCTTTAAAGAATGTGACAATGCACATTAGCTTCTATATGAAAAAATGACACCAATGGCATGTCGGTAAATATGAAGCGACAAACAGCAGTCTGCTAGATTAGCTTAGCACACAAACTAGGTAGCAAATAGTGTTTTGGTCCACAAGCAGTAACTTAAAGCAGAGTCTTAAAAAGTGAGTGTCAGGGCGCTTCTAGCTGGATTTCTTTTTACTATGTTTGGATAAGTGAAACTAGCCGTTTTACCCTGTTTTCACTTTTAATGCTAGGCTAGCTGTCTGGTAGTGTTAGCTTAATTTTCAACACACAAATTAGCCCCAGTTTGTGCCTCTTTTGAATATGCATTACATATAACATTAAGTCACAGAGATAACCCTAGCTAAGCCTTTTAAATGAAATCTAACAATATTTCATGATGGACTCAACTTGGGGCTAACTAACTGTGTGTGATACAAATAAAGCTACAGCTAGCCGCTTGTTAGCTTAGTTTAGCATGATGACTGGAAACGGGTAAACTGCTATTTTCTGTCCAAAATCTGAAACTCTCTACCTATGACAAGACTTCATGACTCATTTAATATTCCAGCACATAATTCCCCTTCAAAACTAAGATATGCCATTTTTACATCTTGTTTAGTTGTAGCCTACAGATTAAACAAAATAATATGAAATAATATAAAATGAGACTTTCAATCTGAATCTCTACATACATTTGACTAGAGTTACAGCAGCACCCTATTTTCAACTTGTGTGTGTGTTGATAGAGACCTGTTAACTTGACATGTTCAGTGAATTAGGCAGTCATATGTATTCTGTGCATGAAAGCAGCCTCAGTTAGATCCTTCCTGAGAACAGTGCAGTGCCAGTAAATCACCCTGTGCAGTAAGTTCCTCTGGAAACGAGTGCTGCTTTCAAGTTCAGAAACCTCATGTGACTTACTGAAAGGAAACATACTGTATTGTATTTGTGTCATGTGAGGCCAAAACATTAAAAGCCTCTTGCAGACAGTTAGCAGCTTCTGGGAGAGAAGAGGCCTCTCAATTAAAGGAGGTCTTTTAAGCGTTTAATTGCTGACTCAATGTTTCACACACTGATCGAATTGGGTTTTACTAGAATCAGCTGTCTGGGGTTAACCTGACTTCTCTTTGCCTAAATAGTGTCCGTTTATTTCGTCCTTTATCCAGTCAATATGACACAAAATAGACAGTATGACAGCAGGACATAATTCAAATCTGTCACTTAAGATGTGTTAATTACAATCGTTTAAACAATGAACCAAGAGAAAAAGCCTAACATTTTTTACGTTTTCAGATTCGACAAGATTTCAATGTTTTCAACAACAGTTACAAATAAATTGTTACGTCATGGAGTCTGATATTACAATCTGGCATGAAACATGAGAGACAGATTAGGAAATGTACCTCAATCAAGCATTTCTTCACCTCACAGTTCCTTAAAAGACAATATATGAATCCCTTAATGAGACTTTTTTTTAATTTTCAGCTTGCACTTTTCTTTGCATTATGACTGTTAATTTAAAGACTCATAAATGAAATGAGAACCCAAATCAATATTATATGAGAAGGCAAAAATCATTATTGACTGGGTAACAAATTAATAAGGATAACACAATATTTGATAGAGATTTAAGAGAGGACTCAAGAGTATTTTATTGCAGGTATTTTAAATGAGTGGATAGTTGTGGATAAAAGTATTTAAGTATTCAGTACTGGTGATAATACAGCAAACTGTTTATAAGGAAAAAACAATATTCAATGTCAAAAACACAATGACATCTGGGAGATCTTTTATGTGTTATTATTTCTGGAATGAATTTAAAGATCATTACTTGAATTACATTTTTCTTATGTCTGGAAGTATTTCACTCTAAGTTATTATGCAGCGCTTTTCTCCAAGCTTTTGTCAGACAAAGTGTTTTGCATTGACACATGTCTTGTTGTAAAAACCTCACCTTTTCCCCTGCTGATACATTCATGTAAAAATATAAAGCAGAAGGCTTTGGAGACGTGTAAAAAGAAGGCATACAGTGTGATAAAATGTAACTGTAATTATGAGCTGCAGGGGGAAAGACAGTGGATGAATGTATTTCAAAAAGAAAGAAAGAAATAGAACAGACATCATAGCAAGGACAGACAAATCAAAATCCCAAGTAACCGTGCCGGGTACATCAATCTGTTGCATTTAAGTATTTAAAAAATGAAAATAAAGGTTTGTGACTTGCGCAAAAACATAAAAAGCATGTAAACCACCGAATCAGGACAAAGTGTAACCTTGTAATTTCCGTGATCGCCTGTATCTGTGTTGGGTTGATTTAACGCCCGCCAATTGGACATTCTTTGCATGATTATATTGCCTGTATGCGTGCATTGTGGATATTGTGTGACCCTTGTTGTTTGGAGTCCATGGTCTGGTCCGTCTCTTTGCTTTCAAGGAATACATTATCTCTGTGTTCGTCTGTAGTCCCAAACGAGGCTCCACAGTTAAGTTAAACTTGGCTGTTAAAGTGCTTTCTGGCTCCAACACTCCTATTAGTCAATCTTAACAATTCCCCAGTTCAAGGCATACAATGAGGCGTCGTAAGTTAGTCCACCTCGGTCCGTTTAGCTGTACACGTTGTCTTATCCTGCTAAAGGAGTCCATTAGGAACTGGATGGGTGACAACGTTTTATTATAGTGCGGTATTTAGCAGAATGATACTGGATATTACCATGAAGTCAATGTCATTGAGCTCACAGGAGGCCTTAATTGCTTCAAAGAGAAATAGTGTTCCCAGCTCCAGGAAAGGAAATCCCTCATTAAACGCAGGCCCTCCAGGACTCCTCCATTGACCCCTGATAGTGGAATGTGGAGCAAAATGTCAGCACAAGAGAAACAAGACTCTTGTTAACGAGGAATCTAAGGGCGCCCACTTAACTTTTTTTAAATAATATGTGCTCTGAGGATGTTGCACCTCAACGTAAAGTGATCATGTCCTAAGTGATCATGTAATTGCATATTGGAGGAGAGATTAGTGGAAGGCTAGGTGAATGTGAAAGAAAGATTAGTCTCATTGATTTTGGCGAAAAACCCAAATGGATCCTTTTCCTAAGGCCTTTCTAAGATGCTAAGGGTGAGATTTTCAAGCAAACCAAAACAAATCATTTGAGCCCTCGTGAGTAAATGAGCATCTGTTATCCTTCCTCTCTGGGAAACCAAACAGATATGGGCACAACCCTTTTGTGTCCACCCACGTTCAAGGTGTTCTTGTCTGGTTTTTACCTTTTATTAAAAGTCCTCAAACCTCTCCTTTCGTATCCAGTCTGAACCACAGAGGGTTAAAGTCAAGAGGGCTGACATCTCAGCCCACTCTCCTCTGAATCCTTCCTGGATCCCTTCCCTCTTTTCATCTTCAGTTCCCAAAACTCTTGCCAGATCAACACAGACAGCGGCGGTCGCTCTTGGTCACTTCCTCCGAGGAGTGAACCACATTGGGGACGAACCCACTCTTCACGCCCTCCCATCCCTCCTGGATCGTGATGTCTCCGGTCCGCACCAGAGCGAAGATATCTCTGGTCAGCTCGGTGAAGGCGTGCTCCACGTTGATGGCGTCGCGGGCCGACGTCTCGACGTAGCGCATCCCGTACGCCCCCGCCAACTTCTCTGCTTCCTGCCGAGTTACCTAGACGACCAAAGGAGATGAGATGAAACTTCCCAATGTGGTAGGGCAGTGAAGAGCTAGTACCAAACCTCTGAAGGCAAGGCAAGTTTATTTATATAGCACTTTTCAACACAAAGTGCTTTACAAAAATGAAAGACATTGAGAGCATTAAACACATTGATGTTGATAGTTCAATTAAAAGCAGCGGCAAAAACAAAGTCTTCAGCCTGGATTTAAAAGTAGTAAGAGTTGCAGCGCACCTGCAGGTTTCTGGTAGTTTGTTCCAGATATTACCCCTAACCAAATTCTCACATTCCTCTACCCCTAGTCTTCCCGTGAAATTAGGGATGTCCCGATCAGCTTTTTTTGCTCCCGATCCGATTCCGATCATTTGATTTTGACAATCTGCCGATACCGATTTTTCCCAATCCGATCTTTATGCAATGCATTAAGAGAAAAAAAAGGTAACAGATAACGGCTGGTCATCCAACGCGATGAATTCAGCTATCTTGGCTGTTCTTTTTTTGGCCTTTTCACTGTTTTGGGGCAGTTTCTCTTTCCTTTTAAAAGTCTCTGAAAGTGTTGGTTGTTTCAGTGCCGTTACCTGAATGGCCGCTGTGTACTCGTTGTGTTGTTGTTGGTGTTTGTATTAGATTGGTCGTGTTGAACGTAGCTCTGTTCTTTCCACCACGCGGAACCTCCGCCTTGCAAACATTGCATCTGGCTGTTGCACTGCCTTCGCTTTCAATTTTATAATACTTCCAAACTCCTGACATTTTCTCTGTCCCGACTCCCGAGTCACCAGCTGAACGTAGCCTCTTGTTAGCTTACTGCTACTATTAGACACTGCGCCCACTCTGTTGCCAGATTTGAGAGAAATAAGCAACCAGGTCTATGAAAACAAGCCCAAAAGAAGCAACACATACATGATGTTGTGTCATTTTAAACCAAAACTAAGGCCTCAGGATGACTTTAAGACGTGAACATGGTCATTTTTGTTTTGTAACATTAAATAAAATAATAAAAATATTTGATAAAAAAAAAAATCCCGATCCCCGATTTTTTTCTACCGATTCCGATCTTTTGAAAATCACGTGATCGGCTCCGATCCCCTATCACGTGATCGGATCGGGACATCTCTACGTGAAATGATAGTTTTTTTGACAGTTTTCTAACCTTTTTATATTCCTTTCATCCTTCTGAAGTCCTGAATCCAGATCTGGAAAGGACTACCCACGGTCCTTTCCAACAAGTCAGTCCTACTGTAAGAACTAAGGAGCACCAGGAACTGAAAGCAGGGATTTCAAGCTAATAGTTTGTGAGATTTAAGATGAACGTGTTGCCTTTTTCCCTTGGTGCGGTTTCATTTCACACAAAAAATGTAAGAAACTCGAAATGCGTCATTGTGACACACAGGAAAATGGCATTGAAAAAGGTCCTCAACAAGATCTCAACAAACGTGTTGCTAGTCGGGGTCTGAACTAATTCATTGATTGTCAAGGTGTCAATGTGCACCTCAGGCAAAGTGCACCTTGGTGTAGGAGCTTTTTTTGTCTCGAACTTGCAGAATATCCCTCCTAGTTGGATGAAGACTTGTTCCCTTTGCTGATAAGAATGAAGTGGCTTAGTTTGGACATTTTGAACCCTGCTGAAACATTGCATTTTGAGTTTAGACTCACTGTTCTTCAGAGCGTTTTGCAGTATCATCCAAGTCTTAATTTCAATAGTGATATTTTTGCTTTCTGTCTGCCAGCTGCCCCAAGAGAATTAAACGACTTTCCTCTGATCTAAATGTGAACACAAGGTTATTTTTTACTGCTGCACACTTTCTTAAACACTCTGTATTACATAAAAAACAGCCACTATCCCCAGCAACTCAACAAAGATTTTGTTTTGTTCACTTTTATACTTTACACACCTGGCGCTGTGCCTCCAGGTCACACTTGTGGCCGACCAATAAGAAGACGATGTTGTGCGGCTGGACGTGGCTGCGAGCTTCCTCCAGCCAATCATGGACGTTCTGGAAAGAGCGACGGTTTGTGATGTCGAATAGGAGGAGGCCGCCCACAGAGTTACGGTAATACGCCCTGGTGATGGACCTGAAGGGGTGCAAAAAGGAGAAGCAAGGTAACGGCACTGGACACATAGGGATGAACTCGGTACAAGATATACATGACATTAGGGCTGTGCGATTATGGCAAAAATCATAATCACGATTATTTTGGTCAATAATTGACATCACGATTATTCATTGACTTTGAAAACATCAATTTATTGAACTTTAAAAAAAATACAAATAATAATTTGAACAGTATCTTATAACTGTTGATTTCCCTGAACGTATAATTCAACTGAAAAACCAATACATAAAATAAATGATACATTTATATTTACATTTAAATAAATAATATCAAAATAATAAATACCAATAAACAAGATCAACAAATATTTTGGAGCGCACTTCAACAAGCTAATAAACATATATAAATATGATAAATACAAATAAATGAGATCAAATATGTTGCAGTGCACTGTCACAACCTAGCAAAGCAAAATAATAATAATAATAATTTTTCCGATTATGTTGTTTTCGTAATTGTGGCAGGCCAAAATCGTAATTGCGATTAAAATACGATTAATTACACAGCCCTATATGAAATCAATTATTGCAGCGTAGATGTGTCCTAGTATTTAGTATTAGGTCTAAAATGTAGGATCACCCACAAGAAAGTTGTTAGATTTATGCTATAGTGTTTGTATTTTTGATTTTAAGAGAAATTAATGAGGAACCACTAATGATTTTGACAAATGTAATGCTACCTCATTACGTGTGTTCAACCTAGGTTAGCAAACTAGTTAGCCATGCATGCTAACGTTTGCAGGTTACAGCAGGAAAAACGCGCAGATGAATACGCTTCTTAGACTTTTTCCTCTTAGGTATTAGTTTTTAGGAAGACTATTATCTTAGGAGGAAGATAACAAGAGATAAAGGACATCCAGGGAAAAGCTTCTCACAGCGAAAAACTGATGTCAGGAGGTGTGAAAGACAGAAAAAGAAGCAGAGGTGTCGGGTGGAGGAGCTGAGAAGTTAGGAATGAATTATGTTGACAGTTGAGTGTGAAGGATCACACTTTAAATGATCGTTTTGCTAAATGTGGAGACAAGTTTGATTTGTTGCAATGATTTAATAAAAGAAAACAGATGGTTTTAATGGTCAGTTTATTATACTGTATATTTCGGAACAAAGAAAGTGTAAAATATGTTTTTGGAGAACAAAATAAAATGAAATAACACAGTTTAAATGTGTATAATACTTATATTCTGATTACTAGCCATTTGACAGTTCATTCAAAGGACAATTTCCTGTGACAAAATTAAATGTATTCAATTTTTAATGCACTTTTTGTGTCTACTACTAGCATTGACTAAATTGAACTAAATATGAAATGGTACATATCACAGGGTATATGCAGGAAACCTTTTTTAAGACCCTTTCCATACATTTGAAGACCTCATCGCCACTTGGAGTTTTAACCGGTTACCTTGGCGACACACTTTACCCCACATTTACTATATACAGTATTGATTGTCCTTCCTCCTTATCTTCCAACCATTTGGACGCAAACTTGCATTTCCCCATAACGATGTTGTTTAACAACCGGCGTAAACGGACCTTCGCGCGCTATCAAGCAGTGAGCGTGCGATGTCCTGTTCAGATGACGTCAAATCCAACGGGATGCCATAAATAAACTACACAGAATCACACTACACACCTACGCAATGATTACATTCAGGCAGACTGTAGAATACAACCTCTTTGGACAATTTATATACTTATTGAAAACAAGCTACAAAATGTAATACCTTGGAAAATGCCGTTTAATACTTTTTAATAGCCTTAAAGGTGGGGTAGGTAAGTTTGAGAAACCGGCTCGAGATACACTTGTTGTTATATTCCATGGAATGCTCTTAACATCCCGATAGCAATGAATATCTGAAGTGCTTTGACAAAAAATCCATTAAAAAATATCATCTGTGGAAGCCGTGGTACTGTAAAAAGCACGACCAATTATTTTAGCCGGCCCAGCTAAAATAACTGGATGGCCTACCTGCCTGTCAGCCTTCCATCGGTGCAAAAACTTATCTCGTGCCCTCATTGGTCATGTGCGCGTTCGTGTGTGTTGGAGGAGGGGCTCTGTAAGGAAGTGGCAGATTTTCTCCGGTTGTGTATTTTCAAATTCTAGCGATCTCGAGCCGGTTTCTCAAACTTACCTACCCTACCTTTAATTTTCGCTGAATTGATTTATCAACTTTTAATACTTTTTAAGACCCCGCGGACACCCTGTATCAGCACTGCCAATTCATCTATAATGAATAACTGTACAGGCATTGTTAACTTGCAACAATATCAATATCGACCTTTAAAAAGCTGTTATCCGTTGAGCTGTGGGATGAAAGTGTTTGATTTTACAGAAACAACACTGCAGCCCAGCTGGGAGGAGAATAGCTGCTAGATTTTGACAAGATGTGCCACCCTGCATGCAAACAAACGCACCCCAACCCCCTCATGATGCATCTATCTTCCCACAGCAGACAGGAAGGACAGACGTGTCATGAAAGACGAAGAGGGGTGGATTAGTCGACGGAGAAAAATACAGCAAGAGACGAAGAGTAGGTGGAAACATTTCAGAAACAGCGAGTGATTCATTTGATCCAAAATGCTGAAACGCACATATATATTTATGCAAGGAAAGAAGCACACAGAAAGAAAAACAATGACTAAGATGATATTGGGATGAGGTGGATTCAGATCAGAGGCTTTGCAGTTATTTGTAGAAGCAGGAAGAAAATGGCAGAAATCAACTACAGCAGTCCCAAAATATGTAGAAACATCACTACTGGATAAGTTATTTTTTTGTCACAATGGCAACCTGAATGCAGTCATGACAGTATATTGTCTTGAAGCTTAAATCCAAACTAAAACTACATTACAGAAGAGAAGAGACACAGAAGGGAAGATGTATGACACATTTAAAGTGGACCTATCATGCTATATTTGAATAATATAGTGTAGGACCATACCCATATAAGGCATATTTATACTTTTTTTTTTTCAAAATACCAAACAGATCATGCATTTTAGCCATGCCTCATTTTGCTCAATTTGACATTTTTTAGCTCTGTTTTAGCAAGGGCAGATTCAGTGAGAACAGCACCACCTACAGGCCTGGCATATGTACTACAGCGTCTCCAGCGCTTTCGAACGGCAATGGCCGTGGCTGCCTCCTCCTGATTGGTGGAGTTGGCCCAATAGCCGTAGCGCCACCGTCCTGACGTCAGGACAGTGTTCAAATCTGGATCAGTTTTTATCAGATCCGTTGCAGCCCCTTTTTTTAGAGATTTGGGTATGGAGGAAAATAGAGAGGGTTGTGTTTTCTGACACTTGGTGAGTTCCCTGGAACACCGGGGACACATATTCATGTAGAAAAGACGTACAAAAGTGCATTTTGCATGATAGGTCCCCTTTAAGTTAAAACCCTTGTCTGTGCTGAGTGATTCAGTGATGACGTATTTTTGCAGAGCATAAGCTCTGTAGCAAACACACGTTTATGATACTTACACGTTTTGTTCAGCAGGATAATCTCCACATATTAACACCACTTTTATAATAGCTGAAGTAAAGTGCAATTGCCAGAAGTAAATAGCTAGCATCGTGCTATAAACTCCATGAAGGTCGCTAAGCTAAAGGTGGCTAATGTTCGACAGGACGATGTTTAGCAGTTTCAGTTAGCCACCTGTTAGCAAGCCGCTTTTTTGTTGGGATGTGTCAGTGTTGCCATGGAGACACTAATCACACTGACAGGTGAGACCAGTTCCCTTCTGTCAGCGTGATGAGTGTGTGTGAGTGTGTGGGTGTGTGTGCAAGAATGTGTGAAGTTGCATTTTAGATGATAAGACATCATTATGTTTTACTCTTGGTTTTAGGGATTAGGGATCCTTTAAATGGCGTAAAGATATTTTATTAAAAACAGCCTCATGAGTAGATTGGCTAAAGTGATATATTTGTCCAGTTCTTCTGATACTTCATTTGACAGCATTGACATTGACAAATGCAAATTACGCGTCAAAATACTATTTTTAAAGACATATTGTGGTGCTGGAGAGATATCTGCCTACAAATCATATACTACAGGCTCAACTGTAAACATAAACATTGAATTTGAATCGTAGAGGGTACTAAAAAAGCATACCTCAAATAAAATGATGTGTAAACAGAGAGCATTACATATACTCTAGTAAATAAGGAATTATTTTGGACACATTCTGCACCTTTTATAGTGGGATAAACTACTTTTGTATCACAATACTGTCCTTAGTGCTTGGCAGGTGCATATGTGGATAATTTCTATTTTAGCTCTGCCTACTTTCAATTTAAGCAAAGATTTAGTCAGCTTTTATAAGTTGGAACATCTGCAAGGGTGCGCAGAGCCCCTAGTCAGTCTATTATTATAATATATTGTATTATAAATACTGTACTAATATTAAATATAAGCGCTGAGATCATGACATTATGGTGTCCTTCCAGGTGTCTCCTAACATCTCGTTAACACCATATGAAAATACTTTTAACAGTGTGAAAAAAAGCAAAGTACTGGAGGCAGAATCATCCGTGCCATTTACGTTTACACTCTTAATTTCGGCTATCAGGAGCACTTTCATGTGTTTATTAATTAGAATCAACCCCTCCAGCAGTTTTCTCTGCCAGTATCACCTAAAAGCTTGTTTGAATAACTGCTCTCTCTTTTTATGGGCAAACAATTTAGTCACAGGTAGCTTTTCAAGTTTTAAGACCTCAAGGCTACATCATTCAAATATGAAGCGTTTAATATCATTAACGTCCATTCTTTTAAAACTTAGGGTGTATCTTTTATACTTGGATATAAACTACCAGTTTCTTTTATGTCTTTGAAGAATGAGGAATATACAATTAATTTTCTATTGATTGATATTTTAAATGCGAGTCCATAGAAATGTACTAAAATGGTGTGGCTAGTCCACGATCTAACCTGTGTAAAGTTGGATTTTCTTTTAAATCTCTATAAATCTTTGTACTTCAGCAGAGAGGTCAGCCGCAGGTCTTTCCAAAGAAGAAGCGCATCTACTTCTCAGTTCTTTAAAAGCAGCTGTTTTCCTATTAAATATCCAAAAAGCAGAATTAAAGTTGTGTACCACAATTTCCTTATTTGGGACATCTTGTGTTTTTAGCTGTGATAAAGCTACATTTCCCAGAAATCACTTGTGCACTTTGAATTCTCTTGACCTGATTTCTGTGAATTGTGTACTAAGTTAGTTTAGTTCTGAGTTTCAGTTTTATTCGTCAGTCAGTTTCCCAGCTCTTCTTTCTGTGTTAAGTCCAGAAAATACCATGTAATGCTTGACTTCCTGTTGCGCAACAATTATCATCATTAAGTCAAATGGTTTTGATTTACATTCTTAGAACACCCATCTATACGTTTCTTATAAACCCTCTTAAAATGTCTTATAATCTGACAAAACATGTTAAGAACTTTAATATAAAGAGTCATACGTTTACTTTTCGTACTTTAGGTACATTTAGTTTAAAAAATACGATGGTAGAATGTACTATATTTTTCTTAAAACTGAGTTTATGCTTCATATCTTATTAAGATATGAGAATACGCTTCTTTCTAAGAGCTATAGGAACCTAATAACATGTACAAAAGTAATACCTTTACCTATACTTTGAGTATATTTGATAAAATGGTAGAATGCTTAACTAAAAATTGAGTATTTTTTGCAGTGTAGTAGCCTACTGTTACTTTCACTTGTGCTGCCATGTTTTACATAACAATGAATGAAGCTCAAGGGGCAAACAGGTGCAACTAATGGCATATTAAAGTAACATCATGATTTAAAACCGAGTAACACCTTATAATAAACCCAGTATAATGATATATGTATTTCCACACCTGAATCGCTCCTGCCCCGCGGTGTCCCAGATCTGCAGCTTGATCCTCTTGCCCGGCTCGATCTCCACCAGGCGGGAGAAGAAGTCCACGCCGACCGTGGGGTCTGAGACCTGGGCGAAGCGACCCTCCGTGAAGCGACGGATCAGACACGACTTCCCCACCGTGGAGTCCCCGATCACGATCAACCGGAACTGGTACAGCCAGATGGCCTCCATGCTGTCTGTCTGGCTGTCTGTCGCTCTCCGGGCTGTCTCTCTCTCTCTCCCCGGTCTGTCTGTCTGTCTCTCTCCGGTCTGTCTCTCTCCGGTCTGTCTCTCTCTCTCCGGTCTGTCTGTCGCTCTCCCGTCTCTCTCCGGTCTGTCTCTCGCTCTCCGGTCTGTCTCTCGCTCTCCGGTCTGTCTGCTCAGGTGAGCGCGTGAGGAGGCGGTGCGTCTGTATACAGAGAGAGATCATTAGATTATGTGTCTAAAATATATCCCAGGCCAGTTGTAGAAGAGGTATACTCATAACCTTACGGAAGAGGATTAGGGACACATGAAAAAAAAAACGTGGGGATGTGAAGAATTTTTTTTTGTTCTGAGAAAAATGTCAGAATTCTGAGAAAAAAGTCTGAATTCTGTTAATAGGCTAAATTACCATGTCATAATATGGGTTTAGATATTCAGCTGTTCATAGAGACATACAAATTAACCCCACATCTGCTGGAGGCAATAATACATTAATGTAATGCATCCAGTAGTATAATATTGCCTATACTGTTGTGAAAGGGGCAATTTTCATTAAGACTACTTTTTATACCCCTCTTAGGATATATCTAAATCCTTTAACCGTTGTATAATAGCAGTATCATCATTAAGAGACTAGTATGCTTTAGGTACTGAACATATCTTATATTTCGTAATCTGTTTATCATCTTTACTTTTGATAACATGACTTATTCTGCGCTATCAATGTATAGTACTTCAAAAAAGGTCTTCATAACTTATCTTTCAATAACATGAAGGACCCTATTATTGAGCACAAACACCTCAAATGAATGTAATTGAAATATATTCCCAGCCTTCACTGTCTGACCTCTGACCCCCTTTGATTGGCTCTTTGCCCACACCACACACAGAACTGCTTCATTGTGTTCGGTGCGTGATTCAATCAAAGCCACGAGTATGAGAGAAAATCCTCTTGTGCTTTTCTCCTCACTCGATGGCGTCAAGTGATATTTGAATAAGCCTGATTTCTGGATTATTAGCCGCTGCCTAATGCCCTGCTTTATACGAGGCTTTGGCATTTCAGTGTGACCTTCTGAATAATTAGAAAGACCTATAGTATATTATATACTGCTAGCTTTTGATTTTACATAGTGGGATCATAGGAGCACTTTTCTACGTTTGTCAGGACTTTAGTACCACACTTCCAAACAGACACCATTTTGAAGTCTTTGTACTTTTAGTTGTATTAATTTAGCTTAATTTTTAAAGGGAATATTGCACTTTTAACTCAAGTTTGTGCACTCAACTGAGTATTTCCCCTCTGTGCTACTTTTTTCTTCTATTCCACTACATCTCAAAGGTAAATAAAATACATGTATTTTAACTCCACACATGTATTTAAAATATATATACTAGAACACACAGCATGCTCATATGTTACAAAGCAGCAACATACTATCAATCTACCATTGTCGAAAGTATTGATGAACTTCAACATAAAAATGCCCATGTATTTCTTAACAGTATCAAATACTCTAATCTTTTTTGAATGAACCGTTTTGCTTATGTCAGTAGCATCATTTTTGCTAAATTACATTTTTTATTTAGGACTTTTACTTGTAGTCATTCAACTTTTACTCAAGCAAAGGATCTATTTTAAGTAGAAAAGTCAAAACAAACCTTTAAAGAATTGCAAACAAAGGTTAATTTTGGATTTGTTTTGCATCATCAGTACGAGTAAAGTTAATTCTGCTACTGATAGTCTCTCACAGCCTTTCTGCTTGTGCCTCTGCAATCTTAAGGAAAATGTCATAAAGAGTGTAAGTGTAATTGTTTCACCTATTATATATCTCTATCTCTCTTACAGTACAGTAGCACACCATGGCCAGACACATGCCTCCCCCCCCTCCCTCTCTCTGGTTGCGTAGCTCGGTCGGTATGCAAACATCAGAGGCTGAATCCCCAGAGAGCTGCAGCCCGGGGACTCTCACACCGGAAGTGATGTCGGGGGTGATTTAGAGGTCCATCCCGCCACAGAGGGTATCACATATCCCACATTTAAAGGTCCCAAAACCCTGTCCCATCATGAACAGTACTATATCTCCATGTGGGGCTTTATACAAGCTGAGATTGAATCATATTGTGCTGTTTCCAAAACGGTTTTTTTTAATACAGCTTTATTTGTAAAGCACTTTAAAACCTCCAGACCAAAGTGCTGTAGGGAGAAATAAATACAAATACAAAAAGCACACAGCTGAGCTCACAAACCATAACATAAGTAAAAAATACAACAACTAAAAAGGTAAAAACTAAAATAAACAAGAATAAAATAATAGCCAAAACAATTCACAATTTAAAAGAAGTAAAACGTACAATCTACAAAGTGTGGAGGCCTGTCTAAATATATTAATCTAATAAAGAGTCTAGCACAGACAGTCTGCAGGCTATTATTAGACCAGTGCACATAATAGCAGAATACAGGCCTATGTGCTTTCTTAAGATCACTTTTAGGCTTAATAGCATGATAAATATATGGCTTTAATGGTAAAAAGAAAGCAGCTTACTTGCGGACTCAGATCGGTTCCTCTTCTGTTCCCTTTGCGCTTTTCAGGAGGCTGGTGTGGACTCCATGGCACCGATTACTTGCACAAACTCTCCAAAAGCTCGATGTTTGTCTCTGATCCTGCACACAGACGCTCGTGCACAGCAGGCCCTGGGGTCGGCACTGATTTCCTTGTTGATGTCAGGCCCGATCGAGAGCTTGAGAAAGAAAAACGCATCCAGAGCAGGTGCAATAAAAACCGGATATTGCGCTTTCGCTCCAAGAATAAACCACCCAGAAATGCGCGTTTCCACGCCGGGGAGCAGGGATGTTTTTGGGGGGCTGTCAGAGGGGAAACCCGCGGTATCACTTGTGTGTTTGCTGTGTGTTTGTAGCGTTTCGCTGCTGATGAAATGGCAGCAGCAGCAGCATCATATAGCCTGACTCATCCCGCATCAGTACCACTGCCGTAAAGCACCGTGCAGAGGCGCAACACTGAAGGAAAACCATGCACTGTGGTCCATTTAAGAGAGAGTTTGGAGGGAGAGAGAACTATCGGACATATACTTAAGATACATGTTAAAATAAGGAATATTGTGGACGGTTTATTAGTATTAGTATTCGTTTTTGTCAGTAATAGTTGGATTAACAAAATACATTGTTGCAGTTTGTGATGTTAGGAACATAATGACAAGGGTTGAATGTTAATATATCTTTAAATAAGTAAATAAAAAGAACATTAAACTCATGGAAGCCTTACTTTGGTAAATTATTATTATAATGGATTTGTTATGTTTGTATACTTCAGTAAAAGCAGAGCTGCACACTCACTGCTCCCGTGCGCTGTCCGTGTGCGCATATCTCAGTGCGCAGACACGGAACTGGACGAGTTGCAAGCTGGGAGTTGTAGTTTCTTCTCATGTGAGTTTGTTGTTGTTGTATTTTCTACACGAAGGTAATCATTTGAATACTTTTAGGTTAAACAAGTTCATGTTTAATGCTGATGTATGTTAGGTTGTATTTTATTTTGAAATGCTAATCCAAATTCTGGATAGCCTTTGTGCAATATCAGACATTTCCAAGAAACATTTGAAGTCCAGTCAAGATGGCTAGTCTTTCTCGTTCAGATTTTTTTACAATAGTTTATTTTATTTTTATTTTATCTGTAATATCAGCAGACCCTGAAACGCAGACTCACACTATGGGTTTTTGGGGGTGTGGTCGTTCTCTCTCCAGCTGAGCACAGTTTGCTCTCTGGCAGCAAACCAAACAGCAGGAGATGTGCACACAGACCGCAGGCTGAGCAGATAACACTGACGTCTTTATCTTTCACTTCGACAGCACGACAGCAACTTCTCCTTTTTTCTCTTAAACTTTTTTGCACTTTTTGCAATGTCACTTGACGATTTGCTTGGACTGTACGATGACAAAACGACACCTTGAACCACATTTTTACAGGTTTTTGCATCTGCAGGACCCAAGACTCAGATAAAAGCGACTTTCAGAGACATTTATGGATATACAGTGTACTGTATGTCCTCTCAACATTTTTATTTCTAATACTATGTCTGCTAAATAGTTCCTTTTAAAGCTTAGTTTTCATTCCAGCGTCGAATATTGCGTATTGCTCAGTTTTGCAGCATCCACTACAGTATTCTGCCTCTCAGTGGCCAAACCCACCTTCATGCGAGTCCCATAATTGGAGACATCACCGTGCCATCCCACTCAGCGCGCGTCCTCGCCCGGAGCAGTAATGCAGCACGAGCGCCTGCTCAAAGTCCTGGTCATCGGAGATCTAGGAGTCGGTAAAACGTCCATCATAAAGCGCTACGTGCACCAGGTGTTCTCCCAGCATTACCGCGCCACCATCGGGGTGGACTTCGCCCTGAAGGTGCTGACCTGGGACCAGGGGACGGTGCTTCGGCTGCAGCTGTGGGACATCGCTGGTGCGTAAAGATGACCTTGTGTCTGCAAGTGAGATGTAATGACAGGATTGTGTGTTATATAAGCCAGAGAAACACTTTAATTTAAACAATAGCTTGTATTCACAGTTTATTTGCATGCTCAAAAAGTTTCAGGGTATATACCAATATCCAAACTTGGTGTAAGGTTGGGTCAAGTTTAATAAAATGGTATCATGGTTAAATATAACTTAATTAAGAGAATAATACACTGTAATTTACCACTCGTAAAGTTGACTTATCAGCATGCAGCATGCTTCTGCTTTGTAAATAATACTTGTAGTTGCATACATTGTAAATATCATGAAGTACATTTTTTTACAGGATTTGAACCATTTAAGATGTATTTTTGTATACAAGTTTATTTTTGATTAACAGATTAATTATTTAGTCAGTAATTGGTACATGTATTTTTTTAAATGCTGTCACAACTTGCCAGCATTATAGGTGAATTTTTCAGGTAGCACAAGGGAATTCTGTATGAAAGTGGTTATTGTAAGACATTTTTTATTTGGACTTAGGCGCAGCAAATAAATGGCAAGCAAAAAGCTGATCCTCACTCGTCAAAATGCATTTATAATTGTCCTAAATTAAAGCTTTGTCACATCATTAATGCTTCTTTTGTCACCTTGTGGTTAATCAAGTATCAACATTGAACTGTACCAGTAAAATTCAACCTAGAACACAAACACACATCCAGTAAACTGCAGTTTAAAGTTGGCTGCATCTTGCTGACATCATCCAACGATGATGATGCATGATATGAAAAGAGACCGCCTACCAAATGTGGTTAACCTCAGTTTCTGCAGAACATTTCTTTTTTAACTCTACCCTCCAGTAAACAATTACCTTTCAGACTAGCCATTTTTAAAGAAAAGCTACTTGTGTTCTGCTTATAAAACCCACCATTCCTCCCTAATTGCATGTAATTGGATGTTCTCTCTCTCTCGTCTCACAGCTGTTTCACACACTTGCTGACTGTCTGGGTGTTGAACATGCCCGCTGATAAGAAACATTCATTTACATAAAGACTTCCATCTGCTGGACTTTAGACCAGTAATGAATTCACACTGTAGTCATTGCATAGCAGGCGTTTAAACAGTGGTACATTATTCTCGTGCTTTAAAGTGATAGTAGTATCATTGTTTTGTGTTTGGATGTTTATTCGGGTGAAGTGAAATGAAAGACAATAAGCTTGTAGTGGCAAATTCTGACAGTATACACTCCATATTAACATGTTTTTATAAAAAGACAATCTCTATGCAAATACATGTTCAACTGTATTTGAACCACAACTTTACAGTAAACCAAAAGATAAGATTGAGCGCTTTAAAACTCACGGTGGACAAAAACCCTAAGTACAACCAATATACAGATATTAGTTGTTTTATTGTGTGTTTAGCTAGAGGTGCATATGGTGTTGAATCTGACTTTACGTATTTTATGCTTAAACTTGTTGCTAATAAAATAGGCTAATCCCAATGTGTTGATGCAAGAAGTTAGATATTTGATCTAGAAAACACACCTTGTATGAACTTTCATTTGGTTGGTTTATAGGTGTTTGGACAAACCTTATGTCTTTACAAGGTGTGTGCCATATGCCATATAGTCTTAAACTGTGACTGATAGTGATCAAATAGCATCATTAAGAGTCTTACACTCTCTCAGAAAAAGATAACATCTGCTGTTAGGCTAGCAAGTCAGAGGCTGTTTTTTTTTTTGTATCAGCTGTGTTTTGCTGCGTAGGTCGTGTGTGTGCTGTGTGTGTGTGTGTGTGTGTGTGTGTGTGTAGCCTAGTATTACTATACTTGTGGGGACCTACATCTGTTTACACAGTCACGTGTGGGGACTCGCCTCCCTTATGGGGACAAAATGGAGGTCCCCATAAGGAGAATCATTAATTTTAGGGTGAAGACTTGGTTAGGTTTAGGGTTAGGGTTAGGCATGTGTTGGTTATGGTTAAGGTTAGGATAAGTCTCCAGGAAATGCATGTAAGTCAATGTAATGTCCCCTGAAGTGATGTATACATGGTATGTGATGTGTGTGTGTGTGTGTGTGTGTGTGTGTGTGTGTGTGTGTGTGTGTGTGTGTGTGTGTAGCCTAGTATTACTATACTTGTGGGGACCTACATCTGTTTACACAGTCACGTGTGGGGACTCGCCTCCCTTATGGGGACAAAATGGAGGTCCCCATGAGGAGAATCATTAATTTTAGGGTGAAGACTTGGTTAGGGTTAGGCATGTGTTGGTTATGGTTAAGGTTAGGATAAGTCTCCAGGAAATGCATGTAAGTCAATGTAATGTCCCCTGAAGTGATGTATACATGGTATGTGTGTGTGTGTGTGTGTGTGTGTGTGTGTGTGTGTGTGTGTGTGTGTGTGTGTGTGTGTGTGTGTGTGTGTGTGTGTGTGTGTGTGTATCAGATGCTCACTTGCTGATTCACCACTCTATTGGGATCATGTGAAGGAAGTTAGGGAGCAGGATAGAGGCTTATTCAGTTATACACGCATGTGGCCAAACACATACTTGCACGCAACAAAAGAGGCATTTTCTCAAGTAATTATTGTGTCATCTCTCTTCTTCTACTTCTTTATTAGGGCAGGAACGCTATGGCAACATGACCCGGGTGTACTACAGGGAGGCGGTCGGGGCCCTCGTCGTTTTCGACATGACCCGACTGTCCACGTTTCAGGCCGTCCTCAAGTGGAAAGGAGACCTGGACTCAAAGGTAAATAAGAAAATAGGCAGTTTAGTTTTGTTAACTTTAAAATTGTGTTCCAATACAATTACTAATTAACAGTTAAAAGACACAATTAAATTCAAAATGTGAAAAAAGACAAGAACAAAAAAGGAATATTGCTGAAATGTCACCAGTTCCCAAATACATTTATTCAAATTAACTTACAACCTCGTGGTTTTTCCTCTATTATGTTTGCGCTACCTACATTTTGACGTGGTTCACTTATTCCAGGCTGGGATACCACTGGGCAAAAATATGAACAAATAACTAGATGAACAGGGAAGTGTGCAAACCATCCTGCTTTTTTAAATAATTTCCCATATTCTGCTTTACACACAGATACAGAATAATAAAAACAGTTTTTTAAGGCCTATAAACCTTCTGATAAGCTGAAACATAATTGAAGGAAACTTTCTTGAAATATCTGTGTTTATCAAACTTTCACTTCACCTTCCTTTGTAAAGAACTCGGAGGTGTTTGATTAACAAAACAAACACATCTTGGTGCAATTTTCCTTTCTTTTAACACTGTGAATGTGCTGTTTTGTTTCAGCATCTTCTCTCCGCTCTTCTTGTACTTCTGCTTCAGTCATGACTAGCCATTAAACCAGGAAGTCTTTTTATAACCTCCACAGACAAAGCAATAACTTGTTTTACTGCATTGTAATCTGCAACAGGAAGCTTGTGTTGGATTTTTTTTGTTTTACATTACCTACAGTTGTGTTTTTCCTATGCATTTGAACCCAAATGGTAAAAGTCAATTGAAGTTTGAATATCCTCCAGAGACCCACCCATTCATTGTTGTCCTCTGTGGAGGACATTTGGTTTTGGTCCATAACTATGAGGTTATACATGCCACAGCATTAAGTCCAATTGTACTCCACAGAGGACATCCTGGGCTTTTCAAACATATGACATGTGTGGGGGTGTGGCTTTGAAAAAGATAATTTCATTGTATTTCAAAATGGCGTCCATCAACACAAGCACTAGAAAGAGAAATGGTAAGTTTGTAATTTTGTAATTACCAGTGTTGTGAGTTCAATATTTTAATTAATTACAGTAAGGGAACATCTTAGGAGTTAGTGTAGTGAGTTTCAAAGCAGTGTAATAATTATTTGACCTAAAACTAAATGTTTTTATGACTGTCCTCTGAGGAGGACATGGGGATTTGTTAACTTTTTATTTCACCCCATTTTACACAACACAAATGGAGGCAGCTCACTAACCAAGGCAGAGAGAAATCTGAACAGAATCATTGAGGGAGACTCAGACATAGACCTGTCAGATGATGAGGATCCACAGGCAGTGATTGAGGAAGAGGAAGAGGTTGACAACTCAGAGGAGGAGGAAGAGCAGGAGACGGTTACAGAAAAAAGGCCCGTCGTCCACTATGGGCCAAAACTAACACGTAGGTTTCTGTAGGGTTCATGGCAGACAGATGCAGTGGGGAAACATACATCAAGTGCCTCAAGTGTCAGATGTATCTCTGCATTTAAAAAAAGGATGGAGTACTACAAATGAGGGCTCAATATTTGTTCTCAAATGACCAACAAAGTGTCAACAAGTGTTCAGATACCTGGGTGAACAGACTGCCAGTCGGTTTATATTAGTGGTTAAAGAAATACTCAGATCTTTGAAAAACTACTGACAAATACTCAACAAATAATTATATTTAAAACCCCTCTAAATCTTTAATAAAAGTAAAAATAGGAAAATTACAAAATGATTGGCTCTGAACTATATTTAAAATTAAAATAAGCTATTATAATTACTTATATCTATCACTCCATTAGAAGTAGAAGTAGAAAGTAGCTGAAACAGAAATACCAAAGTATATTTTGAGTAACTTGCACTTCACTTAAATACTACAGTACATGTACTTCGTTACTTTCCCGCTCTGTTTAACACACCTTTCTTCCTATAGGTCGCCCTGACCAACGGAACGCCGGTTCCTGTCGTCCTATTGGCCAACAAGTCGGACCAGAGGAGTCAGGGTCTGTGCCCCAAGCTGCCCAAAATGGAGAAGTTCTCCAGAGAGTACGGCTTCGTCGGCTGGTACGAAACCTCCGCCAAGGTAACATGTGACTGATTTTTGTGTTTGTGAATCCTACACATATTGATTCAACCTGAAATAAGTGTCTATTGCTCTTGTCTTTTCTCTCTGTAAACACATTTCACAGCAGAGTATTTTCTAATTAAGATCATTTTAAAGCTGTGTTGTGTGCAAAAGTCACCATGCAAGCCTGTCTGCGCACACAGGAATAAGCACACAACAACTTCAGAAAGAAAGCCAAGAGTTGTCCCTTAACCTAAGATAAACTTGCTTTATTATGAACAATTTTAAAGTGATGCAAGGTCACATAACAGCCATTTACTCAAAATACAAGCGGCTCCCTATCGTAGATGCCGATGCCCTGTAACATGTTGACATGCTGCAAATAAAATAAGCAACACTAAACCGGGAATTCAATTCAAACCCAGAGACTTTTAGGGGGGGGGTGCTAGTGAACTGTCAACTGCTGCGGTGCCGTTCTGTGATTCTCCAGATGGCCAGTCCGCCACTGCTCACCAGCTTATTAAGATCCAATGCTTTAGTGCGTTTTGAATCAATGCTGAGAGCACAGCCAAACTTGACAGTCTCTTCTCTGTCATTGTAGACCGAATGCTTCTCGCTTTGCGCCGTCCCGTTCAAATGACAATCATATTTCCATGCTCGCGCCAGAGCCGGGGGATGGGTTACAAGGCTCGCGTCTTGTGCTGCATTCACTTGCACTCGGACATTAGGGATTTTCTCTCATTAATGTCCGATGAGCCAAAATGTTTCTTTCAAAACAAAGCTGCCAACTGTGGTGGCAGCATATGCACCACCACCCCTCGCCCTCCATGATCAAGCGGCTTCTCCGATTTTGTTGTCAATGTTTTGACTGAACTTTGTTACTGTTCACGTATAAGTAAACATTACGTTTGAATGATTTAGTGAGCTGGTGTTAATTTTTTCAAAGCACAAACCGCATATTGGCTATTTCAGCACCACGCGCTGTCCACCTACTTATTGATCCACTATCAGCGTCAGTGCACCCCGCTGCCAGATTGTGCCTGTGCTGTGTGTCATTCACTCTCAACATGGATAAAAGTACAATAAGCATTCTTCAGGTGTAGGTAGATTCTCTATTCGGACATTTATAGCCTATATGTGCGACTGTCGGTCCGATATAAAAAAAGAAAAAAGAATCTCAAAAAAATATTTTATTTATATTCTCAAAATAATTTTCCGGGCCAAATATTATTGCTGGCGGGCCACCCATGCAGTAGAGACACTGGGTGTTTCTCAATCGCGAGTACGCTTGCTTGGTAGCACATGTCTGCCGAGCATCTTGCTTCAGAAGCGAGTCAAGAATACTTCCTGGCATTCGGAAAACAAAGAGTGGAACAGGCTAGCAAGTGTGCAGGTGTGCGTCATATGAGAGGCCCCGCCTTACATCTTCCGCCACAGATTTGGGGAAATTGGTCCGTGCGCAAAGCATTGTGGGGATTTTAAGACCGCGGAGTCTACTCATGTGCAGCCTCGATATTTCTCCAAACGGAGTACGCCGGGTAGATTTCCAAGTATGCTGGAGATTGGAACAGTACTTCGGCGGCACTCGATGACGTAGTATGCTTGAAATAGTGGCTCTGAAGCAGCTTTACTAGCGATTGAGAAACACCCTCTGTGTGTGAGGAGGAGGAGGAGACAAAGAAGACCGTGCCAAACAAAAGAAACAAGCATAACAAAACCAGGCCTATCTCTACATCTATCCTTTGAAACCAAAACTCAAATAAAAACCCTCACTAACTAAACTACTCAGAATTGGACAAAACTAGTGGGGAACCCAGGGTGTTTCTCAATCGCGAGTAAAGCTGCTTCAGAGCCACTATTTCAAGCATACTACGTCATCGAGTGCCGCCGAAGGACTGTTCCAATGTCCGGCATACTTGGAATTCTGTGTAGACTCCGCAGTCTTAAAATCCCCACAATGCTTTGCGCACGGACCAATTTCCCCAAATCTGTGGTGGAAGATGTAAGGCGGGGCCTCTCATATGACGCACACCTGCACACTTGCTCGCCTGTTGCACTCTTCGTTTTCCGAATGCCAGGAAGTATTCTTGCCTCGCTTCTGAAGCAAGTGACTCGGAAGACATGTGCTACCAAGCAAGCGTACTCGACATTGAGAAACACCCACTACATACTGATATGAACCTGAAAATAAGCATAAAATGGCCCCTTTAACCCTCCACCTCCCCCATCTCTCTGCAGGACAACACCAACATTGACGCCGCTGTCACTTGTTTGGTGAAGAGCATCATGAAAGCAGAGGATGAGAAAGCCTCGGCGGGGAAAACTGAACCTGAAGGCAGCGTCCTGGTTCTGCCACACTTCGACTACAACGCCAAGGAGAAGAAACTCAGCGGCTGTTCGGGATGCTCCTCGATCAACACCAGAGACAACGACTGAAGGAGGGACTTTCTGGAGCAAGAGACTGAATGTTATTGTGTTGAAGGGTTATTATGTTACAAAGATACATCCACTCTCTCCCGTTGTCCTCACAAAGCACTTCTTCAGAGAGGAAACAGTTAAGCAGTTTGGGACATTTCAGAAAAATCAATTACAAGATAATGTTATTATTCTATTTTCATAACAGAAATGGAGACAGATATTTGTTCCACTGTTGAGAAACCCTTTGTTTTTAAAATGATACACAAATGTACTTGTAAACAGGGCCGTCCCTCCCTACAGGCCGATCATGCAGACTGCGTGGGGCCTCACCTTGCGGAGGGTGCCTCATCTTGCGGAGGGTGCCTCAACTGAGCCGAAAATGCGGCGCACCTATGCGCTTAAGCGGCGCAATGAGTGTGGCGCGGCACGGTTTCGCCGCTGCGAGGCTCCACTAGCAAAACAGAGGGCCTCATCTTATAACTTTGCCTGGGGCCTCATGTTGGCCTGCTTGTAAACATGGTGTTTATAAAGATATTTTAATATTTGTATATAGCACAGCAACATCTTTAATGATTGAGACTGATGGATTTGTTATATAATCACATGTATGAATCAGTCCTTTTCTTCACATGTTTAACAGATAAAAAAATACATGTAATGCCATTTTACATTCATAAAAAGCACTTTTAATTCGTCACACATCTTCTTATTTTTTGGCTTTACATTTCAAACCTCTTATTTACTATCTATGTTTTTATTATTTGATGCTAATTTTGTAAAAATGTCTGCTTTTTTTAGCTTCAAATAAAAAAAAACTTTAAATTATATTAAAAATCGACTTTTTCGAATATTATGTCTAGCGTTTTTTCTGAACACTGTGCTAGGTTAGCAGCTACTTTTTTGATGCCAGACTTATTCATATGTTGGTCTCTAGTTAGCATTTTTTTACATTTGTTTTCAGTATTTGTAATGTAAAAAGTGTTGATTCCATTGTTCATGATCTCCTTAAAGCACACTGTGTGTAATAATGGTCATGTTAGTCAAAGGTAGGGTAGGTAAGAATGGAGAAACCAGCTCGAGTGCGCTAGAATTTGAAAATACCCAACCGGAGAAAATCTGCCCCTTCCTTCAGACTTCCTTACAGAGCCCCTCCTCCAACACACACGAACGCGCACATGACCAATGAGGGCACGAGATAAGTTTGTGCACAGATGGAAGGCTGACAGGCAGGTAGGCCATCCAGTTATTTTAGCCGGGCCGGCGAAAATGATTGGTCGTGCTTTTTACAGTACTACGGCTTCCACAGATGACATTTTTTTATGGATTTTTTGTCAAAGCATTTAATATATTCATTGCTATCGGGATGTAAGAGCATTCCATGGAATATAACACAAAGTGTTTCTGAAGTGAATTACCTACCCCACTTTTAAGGAGGTTCATCATGAGACGAATAACAAGGAAACAGCGACGTCTAGTGGTGAGAGTGAAGAACTCCATGAAGCCTTCAGTGAGCCGATGAAGGCAAGTTCATTATTTTTTCCTTTTTCTAAAAAGTGCACTCAGGATTTTCACACCTGATCTCACAGATGTCAGCTCAGCCTTTCTCAGGGAGCAGAAGTCGAATATGGTGTCTTTTTTAATCTTCGCTGACAGCAGGTGGTGAGATGGGTTGTTCAGAGAGGTCAGGTGTCTTACTGAAAATGTCACAGCACTTCCACACATTCAGGCTAGTTTCACATTTGTTCAAGTCCTTCAATAATCCACATGTAAGTATGCACATTCAAATGTATGTAATTGGTGGTCTTTGTTATCGGACCTCGCCTCCATACTGCCTGCTAAACAAATACTCTCAAAGTAATTTCAATGTAAATGATGGGAAACACAATTTATATACCTCGACCTTGCAAAAATGTACTTTGAATTTAATCTGAAGTTAATTTCAGGTTTAAGTGAATCAAGTGAAGTGTGTATTCCAATTTAATTGATTAATTTACTGCAGTCTTTTTAGTAAAAATACCGATTTAGTTTGGAACTTTCCGTCATATCTCAGCACGAAAAACAGTGGAAGTGCAAAAAAAAGGACTATAACTTAAAATAAATACCAACGTAAGCAAGCGCTCATCATTAATGAGATAACGTTAATTTGATTCAACTGAAAAATATACACAGACACAGAATATATTTCACACTTTATTTTCGATTGTTTTCGATGTTTAAGCCTCGAATATATGTACACGTACATGCCCAGAAAAGAACATTACAAAACAGCCATTTATGCAATGAATCATGATACAAAAAAAACCACTATGCACTTGAGTTGCAATCTCACAGACCTGTGTTTTAATTATATATGTAAAAACATCACTGTGGAATATAATTCTATCCAGCTCGAGTGCTATCCAGCTGTTTTGAAGCATGACTCATTCGGTGGACTAAAACGATCCCTGCCTCTGCTTTTATTTCTATCTTTCTTATTTCCATCTCATTTTGGCAAATACCCCTTCATCTTCCATCCTCTTATTTGTTGCTTTTCTTGAGATTGATCTCTGTCCCGTACTCTCTTGCTGTCTTTCTTCTCTGAATGCGGTTGCCAGTTTCTACAGCTGTGTCCCTCTGGAGATAAAAGCTTGAAATCCAACTCTAATTATGTGGAGGATTTCTGAAAGCAGTGTGTTGCTGATCTCTTCCTGATGGGTCAAATATACAATTCTGCGTCCATGGGAACATATCACCCATTCACTGGCCCTGCGTATGTGTGTTTTTTTCATTCATGCAACATGTTTTCACTGTCTAACCTTGGTCTATTGTAAGTGCTTTGAATGGCAGTGATATGGCAAATGTACACTAATTAGAAAACCTCCTCTCTCCTGGAGGACAATGTGGATTTAATGGTATCTTATTCTCTGAATCAGTGTGCAAAATCAAATACAAATATAATTGAATGAGGACATATTCTGCTCATTTTCAGGTGCATATTAGTATTTAGTGTCTCTACTTTAAAGAGTCCTCTCCTGCTGATGTTCAGGTGTATATCAGTATGTAGTGTCTCTACTTTAAAGAGTCCTCTCCTGCTGATGTTCAGGTTCATATCAGTATGTAGTGTCTCTACTTTAAAGAGTCCTCTCCTGCTGATGTTCAGGTGTATATCAGTATGTAGTGTCTCTACTTTAAAGAGTCCTCTCCTGCTGATGTTCAGGTTCATATCAGTATGTAGTGTCTCTACTTTAAAGAGTCCTCTCCTGCTGATGTTCAGGTGTATATCAGCATGTAGTGTCTCTACTTTAAAGAGTCCTCTCCTGCTGATGTTCAGGTGTATATCAGTATGTAGTGTCTCTACTTTAAAGAGTCCTCTCCTGCTGATGTTCAGGTTCATATCAGTATTTAGTGTCTCTACTTTAAAGAGTCCTCTCCTGCTGATGCTCAGGTGTTTATCAGTATGTACTGTAGTGTCTCTACTTTAAAGAGTCCTCTCCTGCTGATGTTCAGGTGTATATCAGTATGTAGTGTCTCTACTTTAAAGAGTCCTCTCCTGCTGATGTTCAGGTGTATATCAGTATGTAGTGTCTCTACTTTAAAGAGTCCTCTCCTGCTGATGTTCAGGTGTATATCAGTATGTAGTGTCTCTACTTTAAAGAGTCCTCTCCTGCTGATGTTCAGGTGTATATTAGTATTTAGTGTCTCTACTTTAAAGAGTCCTCTCCTGCTGATGTTCAGGTTCATATCAGTATGTAGTGTCTCTACTTTAAAGAGTCCTCTCCTGCTGATGTTCAGGTGTATATCAGTATGTAGCGTCTCTACTTTAAAGAGTCCTCTCCTGCTGATGTTCAGGTGTATATCAGTATGTAGTGTCTCTACTTTAAAGAGTCCTCTCCTACTGATGTTCAGGTGTATATCAGTATGGAGTGTCTCTACTTTAAAGAGTCCTCTCCTGCTGATGTTCAGGTGTATATCAGTATGTAGTGTCTCTACTTTAAAGAGTCCTCTCCTGCTGATGTTCAGGTGTATATCAGTATGTAGTGTCTCTACTTTAAAGAGTCCTCTCCTGCTGATGTTCAGGTTCATATCAGTATGTAGTGTCTCTACTTTAAAGAGTCCTCTCCTGCTGATGTTCAGGTGTATATCAGTATGTAGTGTCTCTACTTTAAAGAGTCCTCTCCTGCTGATGTTCAGGTTCATATCAGTATGTAGTGTCTCTACTTTAAAGAGTCCTCTCATGCTGATGTTCAGGTGTATATCAGCATGTAGTGTCTCTACTTTAAAGAGTCCTCTCCTGCTGATGTTCAGGTGTATATCAGTATGTAGTGTCTCTACTTTAAAGAGTCCTCTCCTGCTGATGTTCAGGTTCATATCAGTATTTAGTGTCTCTACTTTAAAGAGTCCTCTCCTGCTGATGCTCAGGTGTTTATCAGTATGTACTGTAGTGTCTCTACTTTAAAGAGTCCTCTCCTGCTGATGTTCAGGTGTATATCAGTATGTAGTGTCTCTACTTTAAAGAGTCCTCTCCTGCTGATGTTCAGGTGTATATCAGTATGTAGTGTCTCTACTTTAAAGAGTCCTCTCCTGCTGATGTTCAGGTGTATATCAGTATGTAGTGTCTCTACTTTAAAGAGTCCTCTCCTGCTGATGTTCAGGTGTATATTAGTATTTAGTGTCTCTACTTTAAAGAGTCCTCTCCTGCTGATGTTCAGGTTCATATCAGTATGTAGTGTCTCTACTTTAAAGAGTCCTCTCCTGCTGATGTTCAGGTGTATATCAGTATGTAGCGTCTCTACTTTAAAGAGTCCTCTCCTGCTGATGTTCAGGTGTATATCAGTATGTAGTGTCTCTACTTTAAAGAGTCCTCTCCTACTGATGTTCAGGTGTATATCAGTATGGAGTGTCTCTACTTTAAAGAGTCCTCTCCTGCTGATGTTCAGGTGTATATCAGTATGTAGTGTCTCTACTTTAAAAGAGTCCTCTCCTGCTGATGTTCAGGTGTATATCAGTATGTAGTGTCTCTACTTTAAAGAGTCCTCTCCTGCTGATGTTCAGGTGTATATCAGTATGTAGTGCCTCTACTTTAAAGAGTCCTCTCCTGCTGATGTTCAGGTGTATATCAGTATGTAGTGTCTCTACTTTAAAGAGTCCTCTCCTGATGATGTTCAGGTGTATATCAGTATGTAGTGTCTCTACTCTTAAAGAGATCCTCTCCTGCTGATGTTCAGGTGTATATCAGTATGTAGTGTCTCTACTTTTAAAGAGTCCTCTCCTGCTGGTGTTCAGGTGTATATCAGTATGTAGTGTCTCTACTTTAAAAGAGTCCTCTCCTGCTGATGTTCAGGTGTATATCAGTATGTAGTGTCTCTACTTTAAAGAGTCCTCTCCTGCTGATGTTCAGGTGTATATCAGTATGTAGTGTCTCTACTTTAAAGAGTCCTCTCCTGCTGATGTTCAGGTGTATATCAGTATGTAGGTCTCTACTTTAAAGAGTCCTCTCCTGCTGATGTTCAGGTGTATATCAGTATGTAGTGTCTCTACTTTAAAGAGTCCTCTCCTGCTGATGTTCAGGTGTATATCAGTATGTAGTGTCTCTACTTTAAAGAGTCCTCTCCTGCTGATGTTCAGGTGTATATCAGTATGTAGTGTCTCTACTTTAAAGAGTCCTCTCTTGCTGGTGTTCAGGTGTATATCAGTATGTAGTGTCTCTACTTTAAAGAG